ACTACATTTCATTATTTAGTACATATTGAACACCACATTTAATTTTTTAGCACATATTGAATAGTATTTTTTAGTTATTGTATGTTGTATTTCTCACCACAACTCCATCATCTCTTTGAGTATTTGATTATTTTTTCCATTTAAGTGAGGATTAATGGTTAATTATAACCCTTGAATATAAATACATTTAAAATGAAACTTTGATTAAAAACATACATTTTCCTTATTACCGATAAGAATTAATTAAAATGTTTTGTGATTATTTTTTTTTTCAAGAATGAAAGAAGTTTTATTATATACAAATATGTCAAAAAATAAACTTATTAAAAACTGAAGAACTTTAACTAATTGAGTTGTATTGAAAAACCAACCATAGCTAAAATAAAAAAACACAAACAAAACTCAGCAGCAAGGTACATTTTTTTTCTATACCCAGAAATTTCATTATTTATTATTAAAATATAGCTGACTTCGTTGGTAATACTGAAAATTTAAGTATGATTTTTCCATGATGATTCTTTAAGATATATACATGATATTAAAAAAAAAGAAAGAAATGCATTTGATGATATAACCAATAATTCCAAATTCTTAAGGTTAATAAAGATGGTTTTATTACATCAAATTTAAAAGACAATTTTAATTTGTTCAACACAGCAGTAAGAAAATCAATACTTCTTGGGATATTTTTCATTAAAAGGGATCCTTCTTTCTAGGATTCTTTCATTCCTAATAATTCAAATAAAAGTTTATTTCTATAAATACAATTAATAGAAATTCAGCAAACTTCAATATCTCATCCAAAATGTATATTCTTTGACATTCCAGAATATGTTTTACAGTTTTTTCTCATCTTTTTAAGCATTATAACATCTTATACAAATTTCTTGCCATATTTGCTTTTTCTTTCACCATCTTCTATATTATTACTACGAAAATATTTTTTTAATGGTTCATTTTTCATTTAAAAATTTTTTTTTAATACATTAAAATAATTATTTCTTTATTGATTGTTTCCTCATTTATTTCATTTTAAAAAATTGATCAACCATGTCAGAAAGAATGTCAAGCACATAAAAAAACAAATTACAGAAATAAGAATAAATATGGGAACAAAAGAGAAGTGAATTATTTACCAAAAATATTCTACTTTCACTTACCTATATATGAAATAAATAGTAAGAGAAAGTATTGCAATAGTGAAAAATGTTAAATATGAATTTTTAACGAAAATAAACATTTTGAGGTTCCTTGAGTGACAATCACCAAGTCCCACAAAAGGGACCATGTGTGAGTGTATTTACGTATGTGAACAGTTTAGCTCAAAAACAAATTCTTACGAAACTGAAATTGCGCATTTAAGGTTTGTATATGTTAAGGCCGGCTTACCATTAATGTCACTTAATATAATTGATTTTACACATTTTTACAATTGATTGAAATTGATTAAATTTATTATGTCAATGTAAATTGAAGCATTTTTAATATAATGTAGGTCTTCTTCTCATTGATGTTCTCTAACAGGACTTAAAGGCTTAATTTTCTAAAATTCTTCCTTTAAAGTATTTTTAATTTTTTTTATTTGAAATAATTAACCATTTCATATTGTAACCTGCTATAAAAAATGGTCAAATATAACAGAATTGAATAATTAATTAAGGGGGAAATAAGGGATCATATGGAGAACCTAAGAAACCCGAATGTGCACCTGAGCTTGGTCGAAATAATAGACTTCCACATGTAACACATGCTTAATATAATACAAGCTCCGATAATATTATACACATACACATGAGTGGCTTTTGTAAATTTATTTCATTTTTCATTTAAATTTTTTTTTAATTTATATAATATTTAATTTTACAGATTACAACAATATAACAATTAAAATTTGTATAAATACCAAAGTTAAAAACAAATAAAAATACCTACAATGAAATATAAATAATTATAGCACCCTTCTTTATTTGTGGTATTCTTGTTGGAATTAAAATATTTTGTTGGACTTGATTATTTACTATAATCAAATAAATAATTAAAACATAAAGCAGTAAAAGTTTTAAGCAATTAAAATCTATATATAGATTTAACCATAAGAAAGAAAATTAAAAATATTTTCAACTAAGCTTAGAGAAATTTATAAATATACTTATATTTGTTTAATCCTTTATTGTTATTTCATTGTTGTTGGATTCACATAAGGATGTTGTTAAAAATGAAAATAAAACAAAAAACGTCTGCCAAGGTAGGTGATTATAGCTTCCTCATCGTTTGCATTGGCTAAAAAATATTTATATTACAAGGTCTAAAATTTTTTGTAAGAGAATAAAATCTCTGGAAGAAGCCTTTTTTGGAAATTCTGTAATCCCTCAACATATACTGGTTTGATACCCATGAGTTTTTTCATCAGCGAATACTAAAATGCGAAAAAGTTCAGCATATGCAGATTGCATATTTGATGACTCGGGATTGAAAAAAAAATCGAGTGCGTACTGAACATAAATATCACTACTATTAGTTCAAAAAGTCGTATGTAAACATTGATTGTTTTACAGGAAAGCATAAAAACTAATTGTTTCGTTACGATTTATTAGTATAATTTCATAATTTATTGCCCTCTGCTATTTTTCATTGTAGCAGAATGCTTAAGACCTTTTGCACTAACAGTAGTAATATGTACTTCACCGGCATGTGTTCACTCATAAAGTAGATCATATAAAAGTTCCATAAGAGAAATAAGAAAAACTGAACTTTTTTTTTTTCAGTTAACGAGACCAATACTTTTCTTCGTTCAGAAAAAAACTATTTAAGCTGGAATATAAAAATATACCTAAAAATCACACATAAACTCGGTACCACGATGGGCTGGTTGAACTTTAATAGAAATAAACACAATCACAAATAAGATTTTTCTTTTTTACAGAGTAAAAATTAATTTAAATTTATTGAAAATTACATAAAATCTAAGTAATGTTAGGAATTGACGAAACAATACAGTATAAATTAACTCATTGAATAAAAGCCATTCAACAAATTTTATAACTCCATAAAAATGTTGTCATAACCTAACTCTCACTCCATATGATCAGTACCTTTCACATTTCACTGTCATTATATTGTTAACAATTATTTATATTAATTTTAATTATCAAATGGAATTCAATGAAATTCATATTAGGAAATTTCTATACTATTCTCCAAATTTACTCCAAGTTTGGGTCAAATTGAATGCGCAGTTTTCAAACTATAGGCTTGCCAAATAATAGGGTTGCTGATCTAAAAACGAAAGTATTTTTTCTAGAAGTAGACAGAACTTGATAAAATTCATACCTACTTGATTATCTGTTTCCCATCCCTAACTCCCCTCCAAATTTGAGCCAAATCGAACATGCGGTTTTAGAGATTTAGACATATCATGGAAAACATATTTGTGCATATAAATGAGAAATTGAGAAGGAGTTGATCAGGGGGTGCGGTCAAATTAATAGTAAATTAAACAAGTAGAATTATTTAATTTTTGCCAACGTTTCGACCCACTCTGCAGGTCTTCATCAGGGCGTTGGATATAGCACTGCGGAAGGCAGTTGAAACACTGGCAGTGTAAAAAAAAGCTTGGTTTTTACTACAAGCTACATCCAACTACTTAAAAAAGCTACATCCAACGCCCTGATGAAGACCTGCAAAGTGGGTCGAAACGTTGGCAAAAATTAAATAATTCTATTTGTTTAATTTACTATTAATTTGATCGCACCCCTCGATCAACTCCTTCTCATATTATATCAACGGTCAACCATCTCTACATCTTACATGAGAAATTAGTGGACAGAATTTAATAAAATTGACATTATGTTATTTTTTCACCATTACCTACATTTTATCTAACTTTGTGCTAAATCGAACGAGACCTTTCTGAAATATTGGCATATCTAAAAAAAATACCTTTGCACGTGCGTAAGCTGAAGTGCTGGATGGAATTTGATAAAATTGATATGGGACCATCTTGGCACCAATCCGTAATCATAATCTCTGAAAATTTCATGAAAATCGGATGAACGGTACTAGGTGATAGGCCCATCACATCGATTTGAGTACAGACAGACAGACACCGAACCAAATTTGATCTTTGATGCCTGAAATGTAAAACTCAAGTGGAAATTTTCGATTCTGAGCACAAAATTTTTTTTAACCTCTCGCACGAACACAATACTTCTCTACCTTCGGTAGTGAGGAAGCAAAATATTGGTCACTACACAAATACTACCAAGAGTAAATGCAAAGATAGTTAAAATGAATTAAAAAAATAAAACGCATTTTTCGTTTATGACTGCTAAATGCAAAAACTAAACTAATGAGTCAATCATTACTAAATCTAAGTTTTAACTCCAACACCTTCATGGTCCCTGGAAGGTTTAGCAGTAACAAAATCTGAATTTTTCATTGGTTTCTATAATAATTGGTGATAAATTTATTCAATAATTGATTTGTTTTTTATACTGATATATAAAGCAAAAAGTTTGTATATTTGATTGTGATAATTTTAGAAACTACTAAAGGAATTTTAACGATTCTTTTTCTGATAGAATGTTTATTTATGAAAGCTTTAGGCTTTATAACACCATGTTACCCATGGAAACAGAGAAGTAATTCTAGATGTCAATCATTGTAAAAACAATTTTTTTTTTTTATTCATGTGCATGAAATAGGCATGCATAATCCAAATTTAATGTGGGTTATAAAACACAGAGCACAGCTAGTTTATAATAATTATATATTTTATTAAGGAATAAAAATAAAACTTTAACCCTTCCAGTCTAACAAAATAATAATGAAGTATTTACTGGTCTAAATCAAAATTAGGTATACAACAAATGAATATATTATTAATTTCATAAATAACCAATATTATAGAATAAAAAAATCAATTTTATACGAAATTCAGTTAAAAATCTGTTGTACAGCCATTGTTGTAACAGACTAAATAAAAATAAACAAAGACTCACCTGAACCAAGTTGCGTTTCAAGCATGGCATCGGCGAGGTCCTCTCTCAATCTACCTCCAGCTTCATCTGTATCGGTCTGTGGGGAACCAACACTTCCACCTAGAATCAATTGCCATAATTATTCTTTATTAAAATTATTAACAGTACAAATAGTTTAGAAAAATTCTTCCTATGAAATATAATAAATCTTTATCAAGAACCAAGTGAATTGAAATATTTCAAAAGGCCATACTGGAGAATTTTTCATGGAAAAATTCAAAAGAATCAAAATAGTCCGAACAATCCAAAACTGTGCTGGGGAAAAAACATCAGTTAGTTAGGAGAGAACTAAGTAGACCTTCCTGTTACGATAAGCAAGAATTTAATGCAAAATGAGATTTATAATAAAGCAAACTTATAAATGCAACTAAGAATCAAGAATTTTTAAGAGAATGATCTTTCATGCTAGTATGTTAGTATATATAATATAATAAGAAAGTTTAGAAGGAAAGCTATTGTAATATTGAAAATCTGTGCCAAAAGAAAAATTAAATGATGGAGTATTTTACAAAAATTTCTTTTTTTTATCATGTATGAGAGTATATACATTTAATCGTTACAAAACACCATAACTGGTAAAGGGTCCGATTCTGATGATTTTTTACTTTTACTTACTTATATATTTTTCTTTTGTTTTGAAGTCAATTTCTATATTTGACAAATAAACACAAAAAAGTTGTTGTTTTTGAGTTATTCAAAATAAAATCTTGTGTTTATCATAATTTTTTGACCAGCTTACTTTTGGCAAGTTTTATCAAAATACAGCTGTTAAGGTGCTACTGTCTATAGAAACAAAAGTTGTTCGGTCTTCATTATGATAAAAACAAAACTGCGGATGGTAATGTCAGGTTCTGAAAAATCATACTGGAGTGACTTGTGAAATTCTAAATCTTGCTGCCAAATTGATAGTCTCAGATCTTGTAACATAAAACCTCAAAATTTGAGTGGGTTACTAACTATTTTTTCTTTTGTGATTACAATTATAAATTATTGAAAACAATAAAACGAAATTGACAGAAATGTTTATTGGGCTAAACAAATAGTTAAAGACCATAAGAGATTCAATTACTGTCCAGATATTTAACCTACACAGAATTAGGTAAAATGCCTAGAATCACAGATATAGTTGCTTCAAACAATTTAAATCTACAACCAAAAGGGGCAGAAAAAATAAGAACATGGAACTTGAATTTGAAAAATAAGGCAATGCTTGTCATTCTGTCAATATTCTTATTTCAAAAAACGCGAACACGGGGTATGAAAGATCTTTATCTTAGCTAAATGATTTTGAAATATATTCAATGCACAATATCAAACACTTTTCTTTGATTTTTTTCTTTGAAGATTTTTCTATGAACATTTAAGTATAAGAAATATTAATTACAATAATTAAGACTATAAAACATCAAATGATTCTTCTGAAATTTTAGTGAACAGGTTCTTTCTTAACCCAGGCCATATATTAACACAAAGATAAATTTATTGAAAATTGTCATTTTAAAAATAAAATTAATTAAATTTTGATATTAGTAATTTTGAGATGAATATTACAATATACCTGAACTAGTTTCCACTAACAGATAAGGTCTATGGGGCATATTCACAGGATTGGACCTTAACGGATTAGTGTTATCCATCCCACCCTCTTCACCCCCACTGAAACAGAAAAATTAAACTATATTTATCAAAGAAAAATGAAGTAAATAAGCAATGATAAGCAAGTGAATATAAGTTAGATAATTAACGACCAAACTGGTGTTCAATGCAGTTAAAATAAAAATATAATTTTAATATCGAAATAATTGATTAATTTTAGATTTAACCAATTATAAATTTAAGCAATAATAGCAGAAAATAATATTTTCATTCCTTTATATCATACATGATAAAAATAACAATAATTAATGGTATTCGAAACATAGAATTGGTACCTTGATGGGAGAGGATCAATGGACTTAAAGGTGAATTGAGGACCCATCCATAGTCTTCTATGTGGCCCAGTATGCGTTACTATCTCAACCTGAAATAATTCAAGTAAACATTAAGTAAATAAAAAAATGTACCCCATTTTACAAATTATACAACTGTTCATTTAATTACAGATCACTAATGTTAGTGAAAAAGGTCATACGTAAAAACTGAGTTTTTTTTACAGATGAGCACAAAAACTGGCTATTTCTTTTTAATTTATTAGTGTAATTTCATATTTTATTTCCCTCTCCTATTTGTCGCAATTTTACATATTTATTCTATTTGTATTAACAGTGTCATTTTGTAATCTGCTACTGCAATAAATATTCTGAAACTATGGAAAATAGCAGGGGGAAATAAAATATGAAATTACACTAATCTAATGATAACGTTTAGATTAGTGTAATTTCATATTTTATTATTTTATTTCCCCCTGCTATTTTCCATAGTTTCAGAATATTTATTGCAGTAGCAGATTACAAAATGACACTGTTAATACAAATAGAATAAATATGTAAAATTGTGACATACGACCTTTTCTAATAACAGTAGAGATATGTGTTGAGCTCCTTTAACCTCCTATGTTCCTAATACGTTATGGTACAAGATACGTGTTGAACTCCTGTTCTCCTAATACTAAATAGAGATCTACAACCTGGTGTATTTGTTATTTTCCATCCCACTTTGTATATGTCAAATAAAATATGACATTCACTAAAAATTTGTTTATAGAATAGTGAGAAATAACATGGGAAATACTCAGTAGTAAAAAAAATTATCAATTTCTAATAAACAAAAAAAGTTTCAGAAAATGAAGTTCAATATCCACAGAGCCATTCAATATTCACCAAAGCTAATATTTTTTGAAAATTGAGATCTGATTGACAATTGGCTTATTATTGGTCACTGTGGTATCAGTGTTATCACTAAATCAATTCTTCTGGATTATTTTCAACTGAGATTCTTCGATAGATGTACTAAGGTTTTGGTCCATTGGATATATACAGCATTTAATACTGAACATTAGAACTTGGTCAGTCAATTACGTTCAACTGTAATAAGTGAAACAGATAGTAATCAAATAAATAGAAAGAGTAACCAACATCAATCACAGAATGACTAACACCTGTAAAAAACATAAGTTTATTCATATCTAAAATGTTAATGTAAAAATTTCTCTTAAGAAAGTATTATATTATTTAAATTTAAGAAGAAAATATGTTATCTTTAAGAAAGAGGAAGACTTGAAATAGCCATAGAAAGAAAAAGCACAAATATTCTTAAATTTTGATTGGAAAATCATTTTAGAGAAAATAAAAATGGAGAACATTTTTTAAACTTGGAGAAAAGGATCTCAATGAATTTTGGACATCATTACAAAGCAATTAAATTTAATGATGCTTTATTATTATACACAAACAAACTATGATAAATTATTAATTGAAACTTTTCCTATGGAATAATGTCAAAACAAACTTAACAGTACATAGAGGAAATGGCTGATGGGAACAATCTAGTTCCAATCATAATTATATAGCTTTATGGGGTTTAATAAATAGAATATACCATGAGCTAGATTGTTGGGCTGCTTAAATATTTAAGGAAATGAAAAAATAGAATAAACTATGCCAGTTGAGGTTTCTCACTTGTAAATAAATAAGCAATTCATATATCATTACTTATTAAAATACAAAACAAATTAAAAACTCAACCACTTGCATAACTGTATGTTATGGTCAGTTTCCACACTGTTTCTGTAATTTATATAATATAATTGAGAGTAATACAAATTAGACCACATTATTTTCCAGTAGCAGATACATATTTCACTTATGAACAACTTTTATTCTATTAATATCAATTTATGAAAATGATATAACTCCTCTGAAGGACAGTTAAATAATCTTAAAATAAACAATTTACCTGAGAAAGCCATTTATCAGGAGGCGGTTGAGGTCTGGGAGGGAGATCAAGAAAAACATGACCAGGTGGAAGTGGTGGACTTAAACTACTTGTGTAAGGAGGTTTCGGAAGAACCCATTCAGCCTTGGCTTCAACTCCTACTTCTATGGCTGTATCATAACTTATCTTCTCTTTAGCTACGCCTAAGTTAACAGGATAAAAAAATAATAATAACAAATCAATAATAAATTAATGAAATAGATATACATTGTCTTATATATGTCCAAGTATATTTTGTTCTCTTTTTACTTACATCCACACCTGAACAAGATATTTAATTCGTTTAAGCAATTCTATTTTATAAAAAGTGAAATAAAATCATTCTTCCTAAGCTCTCTTGTGCCAATTAGGGTGAGAAATAAACGTAATCAATACACTACATCCCGGGCAACGTTGATATCTGAAATACATTCCAAGAATGAATAGAAAATTGGTACTTTTTGTCTAGGGGGCTGCTACTGACTGCTATCTGCCAATGTTTATAGCCTGAACACTCATAACTCCCATAACGCAGTGATAAGCCTTCTCCTACTTCATATCTTCGTATTATTGAAAGTGTAAAGAGATACAAAAAGAAATGTAATAACAAAAAAAATACTTTTATTTGACAACACATATATTAATGAAATAATAAAAAAACACATTTAAAAGAACATATTTACATAGAAAAGAAAAAATATAAAACATAAAATCTGTTTTATAAAAAGATAAAACATTCATCTGTTTCTCGACAAACTCCACCAAACATCCACTGCTGAGGTAAAACTCTCCCCACATAATTTTTTCGTTTAGAAAAAAGACTTTCGTCTACTTCAACCACTTTGCCAGGTCCTCCAATTTTTTTCTTGGCCTGTATAACATGTCATGGGCACAAACCTCTCTTAGACATTTGTTCCACGTTACCATAGCTCCGTAGGATAGTTTCAGCTGCTCTTTGCCCCACTTCATCGTGGTCAAGCTATGGGACCACCCATAAAACAATTTTAAAGCTGTTAAAAACGAAATCCTCAAGCCCTCCAACCATGTTTCCTTATTGAAAGTTTCGTGTCATAAGTCCTACGAAACCATCTCCATTTGGCCTTCCTGGTTAACTTCATTCGATGACCTCGTCCACAAAATTTCACGTCGGCAAGTACCCCTACATTTTGAAAATATTGAATTGCCTGTTCTTCTGAAGGTGGCAAATCCCACATTCTAAGAAGATCCATCATATGACGAAAATAAATGGGGAAAAAAAAAATGAAAAATAAACGCAAAGGTGCCACAAATTAAAAAAATAAACACAAATGGGCCAAAAACTAAAAATAATGAAAAATAAACATAAACGGGCCAAAAGTAAAGAATTTAATAAGCGAAAGTAATAAGGGAATAACTGAAAACTAAACAATGCAATAACTCAAAGGTTTGGCGGGATAAGAAGAGGGAGGTTATGTGACGTGACGTTGGATAAGATAGATAAGAAGTGAGGTTTCAGTCCAGCCCGCTAGACAAAAAATACAAAAAAATTTTTCCATGCCAGCTTGAACCTGTGCTACTTCACATTTGAGAATGGTGACAAGGCCTTAAATTCTTCGGCCTCTACTGCCTCAAGTGTTACAAATAATTGATATGAAGAGACTTATATAAAACACTACTTCAACTCTTTTTTTTTTTTTTTTTTTTTTTTGCGGCATGAGTGCACTATAGCCATGTAGGCCTATTGTACGCCTAGTTTGAAGTCACTTCAGTTTAGAGTGTAATTCCTGCAGTCTCTATGAACTGTAATAAGCTTGTTGGATTGATAAGTTTGTTTGCCTTGGGATCCTTTTCCCTATCAGTGCCTTAGGGAATCTTAGGCCAGCAAACCTATCGCACCAGCAAGTGACATGATACGCTATCTCATCCTCCCGGCCACAGTACCTACAGAGAGACAACTCTGTGAGCCGGAGTTTGAACATATGATAATTCAGTTTACAGTGCCCTGTATATGCTGCTGTAATTTTCTTAAGTGAGCTCCTGCTCAAATTAATTAGTAAGTTGGTTCTTTTTCGGCAGATTCCTTCCAGAAACAGTCTTGAGTGGGTCTGCTTTTTCAAAGACCAGTTCCTTTAGTTTTCAGCACCATATATCTCCCCGATTCTGTTTATTGTCAGACACTGACTAATACCACAGATGGGTTCCCGGAGCTATTGGTGTTGTTTGAGAGCCTTGTCTGGCTACTTCATCAGCCATTTCATGAATTCCCGAGTGACCCGGAACCCATTCAATGTATACCTTATTAAGTCTAGAAAATTCATTGAGAATTTGAACACAATCCTCAACTACCTTGGATCTAGTTGTATAGTTGTCCAGTGCTCGTATGGCCGCTTGACTGTCCGTATATATTGCTATTCTCCTCCCAACTAAACCGTCAAGCAGCATTTATCTTTGAGCATAGGTTTAATTTCTGTAGCCTGTAAAAAGTTTTCATGGCCTGCTTTTCAATCCCCAATTGCAGTGGTAAGATACCCAACATTATCTCCATGGCTGCAGTTGGAGTAGTTTTCATTGCCCCCGTTATCATTAAGCAGGCTAGTCTCTGTACTTTTTCCAATTGTATCCTGTTGTGGCCAACTTTTACCTTATGCTACCATACAACAGTTGAATATAAAAGCATAGGTCTGACTGCTGCAACGAACAACCAGTAAACCATCCAAGGTTTAAGTCCTCATACCTTCTCTACTGCATTCTTACATGCCCAGAGGCATTTTGGGGGTTTTTTAGTTGTGTACTCTACTATATGTTTATTCCACATCATTTTGTTGTCCAGCATAACATCTAGATGTTTTACCTCCTTACTTTCTGTTATCTGTATATTATTTATTCTGGGTAGTCTTATTTCTATCTTTATTTTCTTTGTGAAGAAGCAGACATTTATCTTGGCCGGATTGACACTAAGTCCACTGGACCGGCACCATTCTTCCAAGATTTCAGTTGTATTTTTCAGCAGATCAGATAGAACATTCTGATGTTTTCCACCAATAAGAATAGCGATATCATCCGCATATCCTTGTGCATAGAAGCCTGCAGTGTTTAGTTTTAGGAGCAAGGAGTCCACCACTAAGCACCACAGTAATGGAGAAAGCACACCTCCCTGTGGACATCCTCCTCGAGGTTTAATCCACATTACGGTGTTTTCTAATTCAGTTTTAAGAGTTCGCGTATCCAACATGTTACCAAACCATTTGGTGATAAGTGGATTTATTTTTCTTGTTCTTAGAGTATGCATGATAGTTTCATAAGGAGTTCAATCAAAGTACCAGTAATTATTTCCTTCTGATTCATGGATTTTTCAATCCTTGATACCAGATTGTGTAGTGCAGCTTCACAAGATTTACCTGGTTGGTAAGCGAATTGATTAGAGTGTATCGAATTTGCATTGAGTAATTACTCTCTTATATACCTGTCGAGAATCTTCTCCAATGCCTTCATCAGAAAAGATGACATGCATATTGGCCTGAAAGACTTAGGATCATCATATGTTCCTTTTTCAGGTTTTGTATAGAGCAGTTTAGATCCTCCATTCTGAGGGAATGTAACCAAGCGCCATACTGCTCCTCAGTAACTCTAGGAGATAGGGTTTAATTGCTGAAAGTCCTTTCTGAATCAGTACTGGTAGGATCTCATCCAAACCAGCCGATTTGTAGGGAGACAATGTGTTTACAGCTCAATCCAGTCTATTCACTGTAATGATTTTTCTAGCCTTAATCCAGCCCTCTCGATTAGCTGTATAACTAGGGACAGTAGTATCTATACAGCCATTTTCCATGGTCTCACATCCAGGAAAGTGTGCTATTGCTAGTTCTCTCAGGGTTTCCAGCTCATTAATAGTATATTTGCCATTTAATCTGAGTTGCCAGTATTCCTAGATCTTTCTGTTTCGTAAGTATTTTTTTAATCCTACTTGCCATAGGAGTGCTGTGGATTTCCTGGCAGAAGTTCCTCCAGGACCTTCTTTTAGCTTTCCTCACAGATTTATGATATTCAGTGAGGGCGGTCCTGTAAACCTCCCAGTTGCCATGCTTTTTGTGCCATTGAACAATCTTCTAGTGAGTGTTCTTTGCCTCTTAAAAGAACCTCTTAAAAGAAGAAGTTCCAAATATATACCTTGTTAAGTTCTTTAAATCAAAGAACCAGAGTAGATAATGACAAAAACATCATCCATAGAGCAGTAGATATATTCTTATCAAGCACATCTTGGTTATGCTTAGATTCAATTGTTTTCTTAAGGTTTTTGTAATTAATATTTATACTTGAGAAATAGATGATTACAAATAATAAAGTAACAGAGTTATAAACAACCTTCCAGAATATTTTTAATACAAAGAGATTTATTGTCTTATTTAGAAAACTATTGTATATAAAAATATATATGATTATTTGTATAGAAATTATTTTAAATGATTTAGGGAAAAGCATTATTGGAAATTATTGGAATGTCATGGTGACTGCAGTTCCCCACCTGTGTACTAGGGTAAGGGGAATATTTACCGCAACTACTAAAATTCATTTCCTATACGTGGATTATAGTGACAGAACATATATGCCATATATATATGTTATAAACACTAATAAAAGTTTATAATGATAAATTGGAACTAATGAGAGGATAAATAACTGAAGTAAAATGATTTTACGTGAAGAAATAAGCAAATTACAATTGCCAGTTTAATGATAACTAGGGTAAATCAAAACTGATTAAAAGTGTCTCGGTCTTATTGGATTTGGCGTCAATGAATATCAATCATAAGTTGTTGACTTTTACGGATAGATCTTCACTAAACAGGAATCCTTTCTTTTTAGTGGAGGTTGAATTGGTAACAACATAATATCAACTAAATAATATATAAGTTATATGTTTGACATCCAACACTTAAGTAGTGACATTATAATAATTACTTATGTCTGAAGAATATGTAACATACACTGACAGGCAAAAAATTCCACCCATTTCATTTTTTCATCTAAAAATATTTCACCCACTTGTAAAAAAAGTTGTATTTTTATATAATACATGGTATTTGTAAATAATACTTAGTATTTATGGAATTTTATAATCTTTTTTACCTTTAATAATCAAAATGTGATTGGGTAAGAAAGATTAGAGAAAAAATAATTGAAAAACCAACCATTATTATTCTAAAAGAAATTAATTACATCAACGTTTAGTGTATGTTTCCTCCTCTTGCCTTCACTACTTCTTGAAGACGCCTTGGCATACTTTCCACCAGTCACCAGTACAGGACCAGTCGGGAAATGTCCCTTTGCTGGAGGATAGCCCATTCTTCCCGAAGACCCCTTTCAAGGTCCTGCAGTGTATCAGGAAGTGTTGCATGCGCTCTTATTCGTCTTCCGAGGTTATCCCATAAATGCTCAACAGGGTTCAAATCAGGAGAATGTGCTGGCCAGGCTAAAATCTCAATATTTTTCTGTTGAAAGAACGTCTGCACTATGCGGGCGACATGTGGGCGTGCATTATCGTGCATTAGACTGCCTGACGGCGTCTCGTAAAGTTTCATATGGAACTCCGATGGCATTAGCTGCATATCTAATGGAACGTCCATAATCAATAAGTGCCACAGCACGCGCAACATCCTCAGCACTAAGAGGCATTTTTAAACTTAATATTGAAAAAATTAAAAGCCGGAGACTAAGAAATGTGTTGCAAGAAACGGCACTGAACTAATGATACTGAATAAACATTTTGATTCCATAGAAAGTAAACATTGGAATCTAGAATCATTTCATTGAATTAAGGATTAAGGGTTATTGTCCTCTATTGTTATTGACATTCCTAATTGAAAACCAACAAAAAGATTACCTATTAATTCATTAAAAACAATAGACCAATCCAAAACAGAAATATTTTTAGATGAAAACATGAAAAAATCAAGTGGGTGGAATTTTTTGCCTGTCAGTGTATTTAAACACAGAGAAAATTTACTCATCACTGAGATATTTATCAATGAGAGGTATGAAAATTTACATTAAATGACTAAACAAAGAACTAAATAACTAGAAATTAAAATTAAAGAATATCTAAATGAAAAAAAGTAATAAATCACATCACCGAAATTTTAAGAACTGGCTTGTAGGAAAACATTAGGCCGATCTAATTAATAATTAACAGTTTGAACTTTTAGATGATAAAATTTGCTTATATTACCTTGAGCACACTTGGGATCTATATCATACTGAAGAAGCACTCCTGAAGTAGAGATGACATATAGCGAATCTGCACAGGTGCGCTTAGATTTTGGTCGGCCAGGGAGCCAAGCTCTGGGTGGTCCGAATGTAGCAGCAAGAGGGGAATCATCTGGTCGAGCCCTAAGCTGTGCTAGGGGTGTTATAACTGAAGGATGTGGATATGGAGGCAGGCGTGGAGGTGGTGGCGTTGGAGGAGCTTCACATGGAAGAGGAGAACCCCTCCCATCTCTTAAGCCAGCACTTCTCTCAAATCTAAACAGATTATTATCAAAATATACTATTGTTATAATATATTATAAACATTATCAAAATTAAACAACTGATTGCATTAAAAATTAAGATTTCTATCAGATATAATGTTAGCATTTTATTTTTTCTTGGGTGAAGTTAAGAATGTTCTAATAAAACTTCATTAAAGGAAAATATAAAAATCTAAATAAAAGAATTCAATTTAAATGCAATAGGGTCTAATTATAACATTCATTCAATAAAAATCCAAATTCATTTTCCAATTTCATATTTTGTTTCTTTTGACATTAATTAACAATTTTATTATTAGATTAGGGGGAGGGGAGAGGTGAAGGGATTGGGTCCAGTATATTTATTACCATGGGCTCTCTGGAAATCTGTCACAACCACACTGTTGCCTGTAGCAGCCCACCTAATACAGGTATGAAGAGACAGATATCTTCAAGGTCTCGAGTGGGAAAACAGTATTTATCAAGACCTCCATGCCTGCTTAAAAGTTATTTTTTGGAACTAGGACAGACTAACAAATTAAAAATTTACAGAACATGAAAATATCTCCGTCATTTATGAAGCAGATATTTTAGTGATGGTGCAGCATCTAATTATTTAAAATTCTTCTAGATTAGAGGATACCAAGCGTAATACATACTACATGCAAGAATGTATTCATCTGGCATAATAATCTTGGTCAAAAATTTGATTACTTCAAGGTTAACTGCCACAAAGGAGATAACTCATTTGGATAATCCTGAAGGTGTCAGGTTGGAAGTGTGGGTGGAGAATATGCACAAGAGTCTCTTTATTATCTACAACCCACCTCGAAACCAGCCAATGTAGGAATAACTGGAACAACTATGGGAATCAAACTATATTTTATCTGGAGACTTAAATGCACCTTCTACTCGCTGCAGCTATCGTTGAATAATAGATTTTATAAATGCCAATCCAATAATGTGCCTCGATGACAAATAAGACAGTGCTACTTTCTTATCTTATGCTGGTCATTTATTACATCCTGATCTAATAATGGTGTACTCTGCACAAACAGACAAGATTATTCATAACTTACTTAATTCTCCTGAAGGATTTGGGACATAAGATTATCTGTATTGAGCTTCATTACCTGATAACAAAGACAAATGCTTTAACCAGCAATATGAAGAAAGCCTAATAAGAAAAAATTAAAACCGATGAATTTGTTACCTCAGAGTTAATAGAATAGTGATGGAGACAGAATATAAACTATACCATTATCAAATCAGCTAAGCTGTCCATTATGTTAAGTCGAAACGTTCAAACCTTTTTGGAACAAAGAACTTAAAATCAAAGTAAAAATTTAAAACAGAATGTGATCAGGTCTTAGAAAAAACAATAAGACTGGACAAATAAAAAACTGGAAAATTGACTTGATTTCACAACTGAACACCTCAATTAATAAAATATGAATTATACAAAAAAATTAGCTTAATTGTTGAAGATTTATTATTATTATTATAAATGATGAGGAGCCCTTCCTCATCATGAACCTAGTGGATCTTTAATGAAAAGTAACCTGAGGAGCTTAATAAAAATACTCACCTTGAAAGTCTATTTACAACATGTGGAGTTGTATGAGTACGGACAGTAACAAGACCTCCATAAGGCGTGATTGGGAACACATGGGTAGTTCCTCTAACTGATGATATTGCAACCCATCTTGAATCCCACGAAACAGCTATATCTTGAACACGAGCAGTAGTTTCTCCCCTTTAAAATTATGTAGGATTGATTAAAAAAATATCTGCATTTTATAAAGTCAAGTATAAATAGTAACATGTTTCAATGAATGTTATCATAATGCTGGAAAAGTTATCATAATGAGAGAACAGTGAGTAGAGAAATGGATAACTATGTGAACCAATGACTGATTAATTTTAAATCACCACTAACTCATAAAAATCTCCCAATATTGATCTTAACATTACTGACATTTAAAAATGATTAATATCAACAATAAGGATTTTTAGAAATGTAATTTCAGTGAAATAATATGACAACATAACAAAATAATAAACAATGAAAAAGATTAAGAGCCAAAATTATGATAAATATAAAAATCTGGTGCGCGCAACACAACTTTTACTTACTGCTCAACTTTGAATAGAAATTATTTTTTGGCCATGTTGGGTTATAAAATTTTTGAATTGCATTTTTAATTGAGCTAAAGCTAAAAAATTACAGCTAACAAATCATAAATACCATTAAAATAACAAAAGTTCTATTTATTAAATCACATGTTGATTATGGAACATACGATCCGTTGATTATGGATTGCAAGATCCGTTGATTATGGATTGTACAACTATTAGTTATTAAACTGTTATTTTCCATTGCAAAGTTTACTAAAACGGAATTAAGAGATTTGCATTGTCTGTCATAGACAGGTCAAAAGTTGTCACACTAATTGTAAGTGGATACTGTTGGAATATCACAAAAGGAAATTACATCAAACTATTCACTAATTTAATTTTCTAAAAGGTTACTTGATGATTTTTTGTAATAAATGGATGCTAGATACCTAAATATTTAAATATAATATCAGATCTGGAGTTATTAAACTACAATAAATATATTTAAGGTTACAAACGTATCTATGAAATATTCTTATATTTCACACAAGTACAATGAAATAGTTGTGGATACTGTTGGAATATTCATCAAATTATTCCCTACTTTAATTTTCTAAAAAGTTAGATGACAATATTTCAGAATAAACGGACGTTGATACCTAATTATTTAAATAAAATATCGGATCTAGAATTATTAAACTACAGTAAATGCATTTAAGGTTACAACACATATGCTTCATACATCCATGAAATGATTTTATATTTTACTTCTTTCACACAAGTACAATGAAATCGTCTTTTAAACAATGTCATTGCCTTGAATAGGTGGATTTTAAATACTTTTTTCAAACTTAAAAATATTTTAAAATTTTATATTTAGAAAGTAAATTTCATTTAATTTCTTTGAAAACATGTGATTTACATTAATTAATATTAGTTTTCAAAATTTTATTATTTATAATTTGTTTGCTACTCTCTGTTACCTTCTAGAACTTTCTATATTAGATATTGTTTTTTCTAAAATTTTCCGCTTTCCAACGATATATTATATGTATACCTTCTGACTGGTATTTTCAGAGATTCATTTTTGACCTGGATAAGCATTTTTTTTTTTTTTTCTCCTTTATTAACTAATCAAATTCTTTCAAAAGTTATATTTAGCATTTTTTTGTAACTCTGAATAATGTGAGATGATTAAATTTTTAAAATAAACTATACCTTAGAGGAAGACGTAAATGAACATTGGGTATTTAAGCCCTACAAAGTGACATCAATGAGTATAAGACCTAATTTATATTAAAGACCACTTAATTATACAATGATACACTGAGTTTAATCAAAATCATTAGAGCGATTGAGAAAATGTGTTTCAGCATTGATATAAAGTGGCACTTCCCGTCAGCCGATTTTAAGGAAAAAGTTGCTGTCATATTTAAGGCATATACCTATCTTAAATACGTAATAATATCAGTTTCGTACAACTTTTCATTATTGAGCTGCTAACATACAAACAACATACAGACCATTTTTCAGGACTTTCCATTGAAAACTCAGATTCAAAAATTTTCTCGATCGCAATACTTACCCTTACTATATATTACATATATCCGTAAGTGAAAGTAAAAAAATAAGATGGATTAATGACAAGAGGTAAAACACAACAATGAAGAAACATTGATTTTTAGAATTTCAATGATATATTAGAAGAATTCATAATACCTATGAAGTATATAGAGATGATGAACAGCAGCAAGCTGTGATGTGCAGGGATGAGGATGGATTCTGAATACATTAAAACGATGACCATGCTTATCAGCTGTTATCAAAATTAAACCAGAAGGATCGAAAGCCATTGCAACAACAGCGCTGGTATGGGCAACAAAATGAGCGATCATATTGCCACGCTCTTCTTCACTTGTCCCTCCCTTTCGCTGTAAATACAAAATTACACATTAGCATTTTCATAAATGATTAATGAGTGTAAAAAATAGCTCATGAAAATATTTAAAAAATTGAAATAACAGTTTTGATATTACCTTTAAAGTTTATTAAATCAAGTATATATATCAACACATATTTCCTTTAAAATATTTTTTACCCGATTGCCCGATTACAAGGAAGCCACAATAAGGAATATGTATCTGGTCTGACCATTAAAAACGATAAGAATGATAGTTTGAACACGGTATGGACCGATTTATAAGTTTGATGGCTCAAAACGCTAATAAATTATTGCATGAAATGTGTTCTATCTATTGGTTAAAAGGTATGTATGTGCCCCAGAAGGATCTCCTTACCCCCAGAGTCGCCACATGGCCGATGAAACAGAATAAATAATTTTTCTGACATGAGCCAGAATTCGAATTTGGGACCTTGAGCATTGGAAGTTCAGTGCCTTAGCGCTGAGCTACCCCACTCCCTAGATGGATAGATAGGATCAACAAAGATATGGCTGAGCTTTATGCTGCAAACTGTAAAGCAATAGCCTAAGATAGGCAGAAGTGAAGAAGGCTGGTTCAGGCGATCTAAGATCTAAGAGCCAGCCGAAAAAAATATATATTTTATTATAAGTATTCTAAAATTTTTGGTGGTTTCATATCATATCATATTAAGTTCATAATCGTCTGTATTGAATATAAACTGTCAGTAGTTGAAAACTACAAACATTAAAATAAAAAATAAAAAATTAATTTAAAAAACAAAATAACTGACTACGTAAATAATCCTATTCATTATAAGAGAATGTACTAGCATATCTTCTTAAATACCTAGGTAGATTGTAAGAGAAATTGACGTCTACTAAAATTAAAACTGACGAAGTAGCCTGGTGCCTTCCACTACACATTACGGCTCCTGATAAGTAGATTTTATCCTTTGTCAACATCTGAAAAAAAACTTTAGATGCTTTTGAAGTATTTCAACCAAATTTAAATATTCATAGATGCCAATTTCTCTAACAATCTATCAACGTGTTTAAGTAGATACGTAAGAATATTCTTGTAGGATGGATAGGCTTATTTATGTAAATTAATGTAATAATAATTACTAAAGTACTTTTTATTTTATGAAGTAGATGCTCCTCTGAACTTAAGCTCCCGAACCATCATAGTAATTAAAAGAATAAATACGTATGTCAGAGGTAAGTAAACTATTATAATATTTTCAAATTTTAACATGAGAGCAAAAAGAAGAAATAATATTGGTTTGCTTTCACATTGATCTAGGACCATCCAACTCTGTACCATACAAACGAACAGGCAAAAATACTATAAAGGACAAACAGACATACGTTCATTTATTATATATATATATATATATATATAGATTACAGACTTTTAAAAATGAATTGTTGTAGTTTCTTTTTCATTTAAGGTGCACCAGTTTTTATGACCACTAGTGTATATAGAGGTCAATCTTAATATCCTCAGTTAAATAAATTTTAATCTAAAATTGTATCCAAAATGACTCAAATGTGTCATATTTTTAGATAATAACAAGTACGAATATGAAAATTACAACAAATACTTCTTTCAGATTCAATAACTATCAAAATTGTTGAATAGAACAATTAATTCTGACAGTTTCTAAACTATACATTTATAATTAAAGAATATATAAGTTTACTGGAATACATGAAGAAAATCAAATATCTCAGTCAAATAAAATTACCTCAATGTCAATAATAGACACAATTCCAGGTTGGGCATGAGCATTTTGAGAACTTTGAGGACTGCTGCCAGTTAGACTGCCACCCAGCTCTCTTAAGCCCTTACCAAGGCTCCTAAAGAAGAAAATTCTCTTACAATATAGACGTCAACGTATGTACAGAGTGCATACATCTATAAATATATAAACAATAATAGAAAATATACAGCATATTACTTGGCTGCATGAATTACTGCAGATGTATAGGATTGTGCCCCATCTCCTTCACATCCACCAGAACTCCTTTGCCAAGTTGTTAACCTTTTTTCTCCATAAGCCAGCCACCTAAATAATTAAAAAGGTTATTACTGTTAATTCCGATATTTTATTAAGGATTTATAATGTTTTAAAAATGAAAAAATCATTTAGAGAAATTATCTATTAATTTAGTAACGAAGTTCAATAAAATGTTGTTATAGGTATTTACCTAGTTCCTAGGGCAATAGGATTAGGTGAATTTCCAGGACTAAGGTAACATGTTGTAATTGTAAGACGATCTTCTAAAGTTGCTGAATCAAAAACAGCAATCCTTTCGTTAAATGTAACGACAACACTCTTGCGATTACAATGAACGTCGCATATTGGCGAATTGAACTTAATTATTTTTACCTGAAAAGCAAAAATGAGCAAATAAATATATTCAAAAGAATATTGTAAAAGAAAATATACAAAATAAGTTTAAGCATGGTTTTACATCACAAATGAATAAAGATTTAAAAATAATTTAAATTAATAATAATTTAATTTAATTTATATAGATATATTAAATTAAAATAATATTAATTTAAATTATTTATAATACTATTTTAAAATTATAAACTATATATATGTATATATATATATATATATATATATATATATATATATATATATATATATATATATATATAAATATATATGTGTGTGTGTGTGTGTGTGTATACATAATTTAAATTAGTTATTATAATTGGATAATAGGTCACTAAACTACATTTTAATAAACTACTTTTAATAGCTTCTGCTCACTCTGATATAGTAGCCTGATATTCTTGCTAGAGGCGATACTGTTGTGGATGTCAGCATGCTTCCCGGAGCGGGGTGTTGATGCTCAATTTAAAATAAAACTGAAGAGGATTTCATTATTTATTTAAGAAAACAGAGACAGAAATATATTAAATAAAAAGAATAAGCAGAAACTATTTCAGTATATTAAAATGTTGTTTAGTGACTAATTATCCGATTATAATAACTATCTTAAATTATAGCATATAAAGGTTGATAAATAAAAAAATTGTAATATATATATTCTGTTTATAAATAGAAGACATAATTAATACTAAACTGAGAGTTCAGTAAAGTAAGTGAAGTTGACAAAGGTATGTACATAGACCCTTACCCTTATTGTCGAGTTCTAAAACAAGAAGAATTATTTGAATGATTCAAAGTTCAAAACTGACTTGGAGCAGGGTGATGGACTCTTGCTGTAGTTGTTCAATTTAGCATTTCAATTTAAGTACAACATCGTGTGAAAATGGACGGATATACATCAAAATGGATCATAAAATCTTTGGATAAGCAGTCAAAATAGCTGCCATTGAAAGCAATCAGGAGGAAATTGAGACTTGTTAAGACTGATAATAAAATCATACGCAATCGGCTTACTAGCAAATGAAGATGAAACAAAATATATGATGAGAGCAGATAATTCAAATACCTTTGTTTCACAATAATCTCAATGAATGACCAATAGTCAGAAATAGACCAAAATTTAACAAGCACAAACTTTCTTTTATTTTCCAAAGGTATTGAAATACCAAAAAATCTGGTAAATTAAAAAGCCAATTCTGGTATGTCACTACGAGATCTGAATACTAATCAGCACCCCAGAAAAAAGTATTGAAAGGTTTGTAAGAAAAATTACCTCCATAAAGAAATCGACAAGTTAAAAAAAATGGTGGGCACTATATATTGTAAAGGTTACAATTGGTAATTATTTGTAATGAACGTAAGGTGGAGGGGACAAGACAACCCCTCCGCAATAGTGGCGCTTTCTGGTGCTAGATTTCGTAAACGTTATCAGAACACGGGACATAATACCAGTTCAACCAAGATGGCGAGTGGAGGACCGTTCGTAAATAATTACCAATAACAGAGGAGATATATATACCTACACATATTTGTTTAAATACCTCCCTGCACAACCATTGGCCTTAAAACAGTCCTTCCTCATAAAATACTGATAACAAGACCATTCATAGGTTGTAGTGGTACTTTTTTTTTTTATATATGAGGGGGACCGGAAAGTAATGTCGTTTCAGAGCATGCCACTATCTGATTGTCATTTGGTAGCTCGTTGTGTACATCTATGTTGTGGCAAAGACATTCTAAAGTTATAGTGACTTCTTTAGTTGCAAATAATTAAATTAAATTTTTTATTTGTTGCAATTTTTGTTGAAATGGCCGAACAAATACCAAAAGAGGTACATATCCAGCATTGCATGCCTTTTTAGTTTTGCAAGGGTAGTAACGCAACAGTTGCTACCAAAAACATTTGTAATGTTTATCTTACGGTATGAATGCAATCTCTGAACTCTATTATAAGTGTCCTTAACTGTGACAAATTGTAATATTTCTGAATAAAGTGTTTTAATAATAAAAAAAAAATAATGTTTATCCAAATGCAATAGATGTTAGTAAATGCCAAAGGTGTTTTTTCGAGTTCAAATCCAGTAATTTTGATCTTTCGTTTTTTCTTGATCTATCGTATCGTTCAGAAGGACCAACAACATTAGACAATGACGTGTTAAGAGCGGAAATCAAAACTAATCTGTGTCAGACAATCGAGGAATTATGAAATGGCCTTAACCAAGCTTGGTCAGCGATCCAAGAACATTTGCAGTAGATTCGGAAACCACTATATGCAACTTATTGCTTCAATGGCACAATACAGTTGTTCAATTAGAAGTGTTGAAACCTGAATAAACTGTGAATGCAGACCTTTATTATGAACAATTGGATAGCATAAATCAATCTTTAATTGAAAAATGACCACCGATTGTCAAAAAAAAAAAAGGTGTTATTCTGCAAAATGAAAATGGTAGATCGCACTGCGTAAGACGAACCCTGCAAAAAATTAATGAATAGGGGTAGGAGATACTCCCTCATCCACCATACTCACCCCAATGCTACACCATCGGATTTCCATTTGTTCAAATTGTTTCAACACTTTCTCAATGGCAAAAGATTTACAAATTTGAATGATGTCCAAAATGCCATTTCTATATATTTTGCTCAAAAACCAATTGATTTTTATCGATCCTGCATTGAAAATTTGCACACCAGATGGCAAAAGGTTGTTGATAATGAGGGTGATTCTATCAATGATTAAAAATAAAAACTCATGTGAAATTTACGTATTTAAATTTAATTTAAATATACATGTATCACAGATGAGTATTTCTTAAAAATTATAGATCATTTTATGCATGTGAGTTCATGTAATTTTAGAAAAACCTAAATCTCAACATATTTAATGATGAACATACCACTTCAGCTGTTTTAAGTGAAATGAAGGAAACGGTTGAGAACTGAGGACCAGGAGAACTGCTATCAACAATTGCTACCAATGGCCTTTTTGAAGCATGTGGGTCACGATTATGAGGTCTCAGTAGGAACCTTAATGCACGTACAGTCCCTTGGCACCAAGAAAGAAGTTCTGTTGCTTCTCCACTCCCCCCAACACTCCATACCTAAAGTGAAAAATACACTGCAAATCTAAAATAATAATAAAATGAACAAAAGTGCATGTGGTTATACACCAATTCAAAACTGTGTATTGTAATTACTATCTTATCAAGAATTGTGATAAATTATTAATTCACAATAGCTTTAAGCTAAAATAAAAAAAGGCAAGAATCCATAAAAATAGGAAATGTCTTTAATTAATAATAAACTGAAAACTCTCACAGAACATAATATTTTAACTTAATAAGTATATATTTGAAGCAGTTTCCTTTCTCAATTATAAATAAAATTTAAAACGTGTTTTTTAAAAATATAAAACCAAAATAGTCTATTATGATGCAACTGACTTCTTATGTGTTCATTTGATTTAACATCAGAAAATAGATAGAAGATAGAAGATAGAAAAATAACTGAAAAAAAATAAATATTCTGGGACACAGTCCCTTGAGAATAACAAAATAGAACAAAATTAAAATATTACATCTGGCCAAAATAAAATCAATCGAAAAAAAGAAATAATGTAAAAAAAAATATAAGGTAAAAATTCTATATACAAAACAAACTAAACTATATACAAAACCATTAATACTATGACAAAACACTTAAAGCTATTTGCTCTTATAGACCAGTATACACTTTTCCGAAAAAAATAAAGAATTAAAAAATAAAAATGTATCAAATTCTCTATTAAAATCCGCTCGAATGGTTAGCAAGTATCTGACTGTTTTTGTGATAGGAATTGGAATAGGAGGGATTTGAATGTGGATATGGAGGGGGAATGTCGAATTTTGATAGGGAGGGAATTCCTGAAATTGACAGAGCGAACAATAAAGGAATTTTGGAATGAGGCAGATCTGTGAGAAGGCATATAAAGGTCAGAAGGTCGAGATCTTGTGGACAGGGAATGGACTGAGGATTTGAACTGGAGAAGGTTGTAGGCGTAAGAAGGACGATGGTTGTTGATGATTTGGTAGAGGAACGTACCTAGAAAATATTGTCTTCGGAAGGAGGGGAAGAGCCACCTTAACTCAGTGTAGTGGTGAGAGACATGGGAGTACCTCGGGGCACCAATAACAAATCTTACGCAGCTATTCATTAATCTTTTCAGTCTATCACGGAGCTCCACCGAGAGACCATCATACACCACACAGCTGTAGTCAAAGTGGGGGAAGATGAGAGAGGAAATTAGGAGTCTATGGATATGTTGAGGTAGGAGATGGTGGAAGCGATGAAATAGTTTAAGGGTAGAAATTGTCCGACGGGAAATGTGAGAAATATGGTAGGTCCAGGAGAGGGTTTGATCTATGAAAAATCCTAAATTTTTAACAGAGGAGTAGAAGGAAATTGGCTGGTCATTAAGGTGTAATATGGGAAAGTCAGTATGGGATCTAATAAGGGGCTTGGAACCAATGACAATAGCCTGAATTTTGGCAGCATTTAACTTTAATCCATTTACATTTGCCCAGGTATTGATTCGATCACGGTCTTCTTGAATCTTGGCAAATGCCCTCAGTAATTCAGAGGGAGAAAAGGATAGGTAGATCTGGGAATCATCTGCATAAAGGTGATGGGAACAATGGAGAATTGATTTAGGTAGGTCGTTAATGTAGGAGCTGAAAAGGAGAGGAGATATGCTTGAACCCTGGGCAACTCCAGAGGATAAAGAAAGGAAAGCAGATAGTGGTTGGTTGGGTATGGAGACTGCTTGGGTGCGTTGGGAGAGGAGAGATTGGAACCAAGAGATGGAACTATTGGAGAAAGATAATGATTTTAGTTTGTTGAAGAGGATGGAATGGTTGATGGAATCGAAAGCTTTGGAGAAGTCTAGAAGAATAAGGACAGTTAATTTTCTATCATCTATTGCAGATTGAATGTCATTGGTAATTTTAATTAAGGCAGATTGTGTGGAATAGCCGGGACGGAAACCAGATTGGAGAGGATCAAATTGGTTGGACTTTTCGAGGAACTTGGAGACTTGGGATTGCACCAGTCTTTCAAGAGGCTTTGAGAGGTTAGAAAGAATTGAAATTGGACGGAAATCTTCGGGTGAGGATGGATTAGGCTTTTTATTTAAAGGAAGGACAATGGCTTTTTTCCAAGAGGTAGGGAATACTAAATTCTGAAGGGAGAAATTGTAGATAAAAAGGAGAGCTGAGAGGATTTCAGGTAGACATATTTTTATTAATTTGACAGGAATGCCGTCTGGCCCTATGGAATTGATGTGGGATTTCATTACTGCGGTTAACAGGTCTGTGGGAGAAATGTCGGAAAAGTAAAAGTTATTGTCGTTAAAGGATATCTCTGGAGCAAAGCCAGAAGAGGAAGGTAGAGAAGAGGTATTAGCGACAGATATAAAATAAGAGTTTAAATCATCGGAGGATACAGGATAGGCTGCGGTAGGGGATCTGGAAGGATTACCAATGGAAAGTTTACGAAGCAGTAGCCATTTCGATTTGATATCAGGAGCTGAGGAAAGGGTTTCATGGAAGTAGGAAGCTTTCGCACGCCGGATCCTTGTCTGTGCCAAGTTGCGAAGCACCCTGAACGCTTGGTAGGCATCTGCAAGCCTCGTACGTCTAAAACGTCTTCGGGCAGCGTCGCGCCTCTTCTGCAGATCTTTGATTTCCTGACACATCCAAGGAGCAGGCCGGTGACGAAAGGTAGAGGTTTTGAGGGGAGCATGGGTATTGAGAATATTGAGAAGATTGGTGGTAAGAATGTCAACCATGGAGTCGATGGAAGAGCAAGAATATATTCCATTCCAGTCTAGGGTTTCTAGGTCAGGTAATATTTTTTCTCGAGTAAGGGAATCTAGGTGATGGAAGGTGATAGTTCGAGGCTGGATTGAAGGAGTTTGGATATTATATGTTATTTGTATAAGATCGTGAGATGATAAGAATGATACTGGCAATTGAGAAGAGGAGAGGAGATTTTGTACAGAGTCTATAATGTAGAAGTCTAGCCAAGTGTCTGACCTGCTGGTGTGGTGGGTGGGGGAAAATGGAACTATGAAGAGGTGCAGAGAGAAAATTAGGTTTTCTAGATAGGATTTGTCATTGGAGTTAGAGAGGAAATTGGTATTGAGGTCACCGGAGATGATTATTCTGGGATATAGAGGAACGAAGTTGAATAGGGTTGATTCGAAGGACTGATCAAATGGAACATGGGGAGGACGATATACCACAGGGTAAAGGAGAGGAAGATCCTTACAATGGATTTCTACTAGAAGGTATTCAACCTGAGGATGATCGGAGGGTGGTGAGGAATCGAGGATTCGAGTCTTCAGGCTATTATGGACAAACATGGCTACTCCTCCGCCATTCCGGCTTACCCGGTCATGACTGAGGAGGGTGTGATTAGGCAAGGAAACAGAAGAGGATGGGATGTAAGGTTTAAGCCAAGTTTCCGAGATTGCGATAATATGATAAAAGTTTTGAGTGAAATATTGCAGGAACTCGTCATAGTGGGCAGGGAGGGATTGAGAGTTAACATGACAGGTGATTAGGGTACTAGGCATGAGAGGAATTGGGAGGGAAACAGTCAGAGTTTGGTAGAGAAACTCTAAAACAAATAGAAAATACAAAAAGGCGTTTACAATTAATGAAAATAGCAGAAAAGAAAGTGTAAGCAGGAACCAAAAGAAAGAACTTTCAATTTTCTAATTTTCAAGCTTCTTTCAACTTTCATTTTTCTGTCTTTTCAATTTTCAATCTATTTATTCGTTAACATTCATTTTCTTTATCTGTTAACCCACAGTTATCTAATGTAATCTCTATTAGTTTGTTATACACTTATTCCTTATCTTTTGTCGCAATCTGTTTACTTTTAACTTACATGCTATATTCTCCTTTATTTTTATTTTTATTCATACTTATTTTCCATTTATTTGTGTTTTCAACATATATAATACTTAATATTTAACTACATTGTCACCCACTATATCTCTGATATCATCTTTTATTTCTGTATCTGACAACTTCTTCTTATTTTATATCTACTTATATTTAATTTTTATTCTGAACATGTTTTGTTTCTTTTGTAGCCCTGAAGAGGACCTTCAGCAAAATGGCAAAATTAAAATAAAATAATTACTATATTTTAATGTAGTATTTATTTGACCGCACCCCCGACTAACTCCTTCTCTTAGTAGTCTGTACTACTCTATTATATATAGTGTAGAGAAATTAATTATTCAAAAGAATCAGAATTAAAACATATTTACTAATTTATCAGGATCCAGTGGCAACACAATTGCTAAAAGAAAAGACATTTAGATTTTACTTTTGTTCTATTTAAAACAAAACATTGTATCAATAGAGAGAAAAAACTTATGAACCTCCATTTTTCCACAAAGTCATAAAATCGCTTTCATTTGTTCCATAAAAGTAAAGAAGTTCCTTTTTTCTTTTCAGGAAAAATAGTTCATAATTTTGTCCATAGTTAAATTTTGAAAATATTTATTTAAAAAAAAAATTTATTGCTATTAAGATTATATCAAAAGTATTTTCCTTTGAATTATAGATTGTACTTGACGTCATATTCCTCAAACCCTAACATTAAAATTACAATTTGTTCATATCTGTTTTTCGATATTGTATGTACAGTTGACTCGGGCATAGTACTATAACACTTGATCAATTTTAGTGGGACTAACACTTATCTCTACATGATTTAAAATTTCCATTTTAATGCCTAGCATTAACAATTTCTGCTTTTCTTCATTAGCAAACATTCTGATGATTTTACAAGTCTAACAAACTGAAGAAACAAAAAGTAAACACCAATGTTTAAAACTAAATTTAAATAACAAGAACAATAAAAAATAAATATATTGAAGAAAAGGATGGATGGGGTGATCAGTCAACATAAAAATAGCAAAAGTAAATAATAATATTTATTTTTACATTTGCCGACGTTTCGGCCCTAAGTTCATGCCTTCATCAGGGCTGATCGAACAGAATGCTTGGAGAGATCTAATTATTGGCAAATGTAAAAATAAATGTTATTATTATTTTTTTTTGCTATTTTTTATTTTGACTGATCATCCCAACCATCCTTCTCTTCAATTATTCACTATAGTCATCCATCAACCCACAATTAAAAATAAATACAGTATAGTACAAATTATCCAAGCTGCCATGAAATAACTTCTAATTACTATAGCAATGATTAGTTGGTAATTCAATAAACATTATTACTTCTAAAAATTAAAATATATATTAATGACTAAAATTATAATAAAATATATATCAACGACTAAAATTATAATAAAATATATATTAACGACTAAAATTATAATAAAATATATATAGCAAAAATTAGGTGTCCCACAAAATTGACAGTTAGCAAAAGTGAAGAAAGTTATTACAGTTTGCAACTAATGACGACTTTTGCACAATTTACGGTTAATTCTCAACATATTCCCGGATTTTTTAAAAATGCTCAACTCTGTTAAAGTATTAAAAAGTTGTCAAAGAAATTATTAATCATTACTTGTTTATTTTTTAACATAAATTCATTATCAAACATATCAAATGAAATTTAGGTGGAAGTCCTCGTTCTAATCTAAATCTTCCAATAATATTAAAGGTCGATTCTTTGCTTCTGCAAGCAAAATCATTTATTCAAATAAGGGTGAAATACTCGTTTTACTCACCTGAACTCCACTTGAATAACCTAAAACAAGGAGAAGTGGTATAGTTGATTCACTTTCACATTCACTTAGTGGAGGAAAATTCTCAGGGTCGTTATAATCTGTGGAATCAAACCTTGCCCATAAAATTCCTTCACGTGATTCACCAGGTAATACACTGGAATATGCCTGGAATTTAAACAACCCCTAAAAGATTCATTGATAGTATCTATATTATTTAAATTACAAAAGTTATGATCTGTTAATTAAAAACAAAAATAGAGGGAGGAAGAAAAATAATAAATAAAAAATACCTGAGGAACAACTTCATGTATGAACCCCGCAACACTTTCAATTATTGATGGATCATTAATTGCTTGAGGTAAAATAACTTGGCCATGGTATGCTTGTTTTGATTGTTTTCTCAAGGAGTCAGCTGACATTTTGAAACTACCCTATAATCCAAATTCTCCTAATGCATATAAAATCAACAAAAATTACATTAAAAACAATCTTATGAGCATCAAAATAAAATAATTCAACTTAAATTAATTATAATTAATTCAAATAAGGGATAAATGTATTATTTATGCTGCATTTTTTTTTTTTTACAAAATAATAATTTTCATTTAATTTAATAAAAGGTGAAAAAAAAATATGAGCAAAATAGAGGATGACCTTGATGAATAGTCAAAGAATATATAAACTACACATATCTCAGAACTGTTGTAAACAATGGGCCATAGCATTTTTATTCCTCACCTAACTAATCCATTGCAATAACTTAATAAATTCTGCTACTAAAAATATTTACATAAAAAAATGACACATTATGAGATCTTAAACCTTAAACTAACTGTGCCTAATTTCTAAACAAAGAACGAACTATACTAAGACGCAAATAAACTGTCATTGCAACATTAACTTGACAACCAGCTGTTCTCTTTATTACATCATCACAGTACTACGTGAGTCAAAAATGATCACACTAAAATAGCTTTTTTTAATAAAAACTAAATATAAATTGTTCGAAATAATGCTCAAAATAATTATAGTACGGTAAGAAATAATAAAATGAAGAAATAAATTATAATTTTTGCCAATAAATTAAAAAAATATTTGTTATATGAAAGAGCACATCAGCTGATACAGTAAACAAACAAGAAATAGACGTAGCAAGAGGCTTGTGTTGCAGGTAGGTCAGCACAAAACATTTTATTATTGGTTGTCAATATACTTTTTAAATTGTCAATTCTTGTTGGTTTTCGCTTATATATTTTTAATTTTGTTCTTATTAAAAAAACACAAGTTTTTTTTAAATTAAATTTCAACCACAATCGTATTGTTTCTTGCATTTTTAAATTGATAAGTAATTAAATTTCCAGATAATCCGTTATTTGGATATTAAATCTCATTTTAGTTGTTTTACTTGCTTTATAGAAACGGTGTATATTAGGTGAAATTTTCTAATTTACTGAATACAAAACTTATTATAATTTGTATTTTTTTTTTTTCATTATTTTTATTTACAAGGAAATTAATTATTTTTTCCTTTTGAACAAACACCTACTATAAGTGTACTACTTATCATTTTTACTTTAATCAATTACAGTGTTTGTTTAGCTCTAGAAGTGATCAAATTACTCCACATCAATTTAGTGTAATAATTGATAAATTTTATTATGAAACTAGGTTTGTTTCTTGGAAAATTGCTTTTCTGGACTTGGATGGAGAATGATAAATCATTCTATTAAATAATTTAATTAAATCTTTAAATAACGTAAGTTTAGTACTTGAACTAATGGGCATTTCCCACAGGCGACAGAATTTAAAGGATGCGCGTTTGGAGGAACATTTTATGTCAGTTTAATTAAAAAATATTTACGTCTGCTTTTTATGGCTTTGATCCCAGTTCAATTCATAAAATGAGTCAATATTATAAGATGATATTTATTTCGAAATATTTTGCCTGGAATATTTTTATTAAACTGTTGATTTATTTTTCTTTTTCGGATTTGATTAAAGCTTTTTGAAAATTTCCGAATGTTAACTATTGTTTAGATTCATTATTTTGATGAAACCCTTGAGGATCTGAGTTATAGTTCGATTGATATGGGCTTATAATCTATTTCGTGGCTTGCCCACTCTGAAAGAAGAAAGAACGAAAAGTAAATTTTAATCTGGGATATTCAGTCCCCCAAGAATAATTACAATGAACAATTTAGTGACATTGGTCTGGCATAAGAAATTGATCATCTTATTATTAATTAAATTACATTGTCATAATAGAGTCTTGAAATTAAAATGAAAGAAAGACACAAGTTAATATTTGAATTATCGATAGATGTATATGAGGGTCTTCACACATAAACAATAGACAATACATAGGCAGAGGTGCTCATCCCCTCCCCCAAGGCCGATGGTGCATAAAGAATCATTTTGGGGGCCCTCAGCCCGAAAGATTGTTTTTTTTTTAAATGTTAATAATTACTTTGGAAAAAACTAACTACCTATACAAAAAGGTGCTAAAGTGATTCTTAAAGTCCTATTAAATGTAATTACACAAAAAATAATACTTTTAGAGTAATTTATAATATTTCTTTTATTAAGACACGGTAATATTTTACCATTTTGGGGAGGGAGAGAGAGGGGGGCTTCAGCCCGAAAGCTCACCCGTAGATCCGCCTCTGAATGAATGAATGAATGAAAATAATTTTATTATTCTGGGACTAGTATCGCTTTAGAACAAGTTACAAATACAGAAAGTATATTAATATTCTGGTGTGTCCATAAACTACAGTTTAGTATTTACAGGATGATTACAATAAAATTAATAATTTTATTTATTTATTTTATTAGATAATAAAAAGATATAAAAACGTGTAGAAATATAAAATAAACAGAGAAAGTAATTTAGATAACAAGATATCAATGAACCACAAAATAATCAGAGTATCTGGGTGTACTTTGAAATTCTTACAGCTTAGGTTTTTAAGTGCATTTCGTGATCAATTGGATTGGGAATGGAGTAGATGTTTGAAGAGGAGAGATTTGAAACAGGATATTGATTTTGCATGTCGAATATGTAGTAGACATCCCCGGTATTTACCCCTTTATATGACAATGTGTGAGGGAATGAGAAGGTATATATAATATATAGGAATGTGAGGTAGCACTGTGAATTGTACTCAATTGTGCAGTGGACAAATTGCTCATTGGAAAATCTCACATCGATAAAGAATCGAAAAGAAGAAAAGGTCCGATCAGGTAGCTGGCAACAGATGGCGAGGACGACGCCAAACACTTTAGGCCTGGACACCAACACAAGAAGACGTCATCTGGGAAGAGAGGCTTACTACATTGAAGACCAAGATTATCAAGCCGACCGTTCACTTATATATATTCATTTTTTGTCAATTGTCAATAAATGAAATTATAAATCATAAATTATTATAAATAATTTTATTATACCGGAGTGAACAGTCCTTTTATTTAGTTGTCCTATAGGCCTCACAATTGAAGAATAAACCAGGTGAGTCAATTCATTCAGTGTTTACTAAGCCCCACATTTCATATATATATTTTTTTATTGTTTCTTCTCACCCAGTGTCATAAAAGGTATTAGATCCCCGAATTCCCAATCACAGTTAAACACCCTCAAAAAGTCGACATCCAGTGCCGGGGTTTTGTTTTAATGATTCACGAGTGTAAATAACTGATAACTCACGTGTGAAGGCTATGCGCCTATTCCCGCCAAAACTAATTATTTAAAATTAACTTCCCGTAGGTTATTTACAAATATCTGAGGGTATAGAGTTCCAGAGGGAGACAATTTGAATTAAAAATGATTTATCAAACGCCGCAGTTCGGTGAGGAGGAGGATAGAGGTCGGACGGGATCTGGTGTGACGGGATTGAAAGGAGCGTTTGAATTGTAGGATCTACAGAATATAGGCGGATCGCCGTGTTCTAATGGCCTGGTATAGGAAGGTAGCAAGGAGATATTGACGGCGGTAGGACGGATAAAGCCACTTCACTCGGTGTAAAACTGCGTATCTCTTGAGATTCTGAAGATTGAACAATTTTAAATAACTTAAAAGACGTTTAAGTTTAGCTTCGAGTTCTCTCGAGAGTCCACCATACACCATGCAGCCATAGTCGAAGTGGGAGAAAACAAGAGAGGAGACCAGGAGTTGACGGGTTTTGAACGGAAGAAGATGACATAGATGGTTAAACAGTTTCAGAGTGGATATAGTTCGGCTGAAAGTTTGGGAGATGTGTGGTTTCCAGGAGAGGGTTTGATCGAGGGTAATGCCAAGGTTTTTAACGGTGGTATGGGAGGAGATAGGTGAGTAGTTCAGAAGAAGATTAGGAGGTGCTGAAATAGATTTGAGGAGTGAGGGGGGTCCAATCATGATGGGTTTTGTCTTCTCCGCATTTAATGTCAGCTTATTGAGACTCGCCCATGTGCATATTCTATTGATGTCTTGTTGCAGTTTCAGGATGGCATTAGAGGAATCCGTCGGGTCGGAGGAAAGATAGATTTGGACGTCATCGACATATAGGTGATATTGAGTGTATGATAGTTGGTGTAAACTTTAATGGCCTGTAGTACAAACGAAAGTAGAATTTAAATATTCGTAGATTATATACAATTGTCGATTCCGCGTTCGGTTCCATGCTTCCACTTGTCATTTAATCTGAAACTTTTCATTTTGAAAATTCATAACTCTATCGAAATGTGCCCCCTTAAAAATTGAAAACCCTGTCAAAAAGTGCCCCCCTTAAATGTTGATGATGCAAATTGCGCCATGAAATCTCCTTCTGGGCACCCCTGTACATAAGTAACTGTAAAATGAGGTTGAAATCTCTAAAACACAAAAATATTATTCTTACATTTATTCGGAAGATTGATTGCTGGAAAGATTTAAAAATAAATGATGTTTAATTGAGTTGAAGGATAAATTCCAAAACAAGGTACCACGGGAAAGGAGTTTTTAAAGGAAACAGTTCTACCAGAAGGAATAAATAGATTTGTTGGCTGGGATCTCGCGTTGAACGACTGGACAGAGGAGCAAGGACTAAACAGATCAAGAAGGTAAGAGAGTATTTTGGTTGTCAAGGTGAAGAAATGAAAAATACCTAGGAGATATGGCCGTCCGAAAACTGGATTACCTACTGGAGACGTTAGAACGCCTAGAGATTCCTAGATAAATCTAATGAAACACAGGCGGATCTGCAGGGGGAGAGGGGCTTTCGGGTTGAAGCTCCCTCTCCTCCCCTCTTCCCTCCAAATGGTGAAAAATATCCATGTCTTACAAAAAAAATTATCTCTAAAAAGTATTTTTGTTCGTTAATTACATTTAATAGGACTTCAAGAATCACCTAAACACAATTTCTTATTTGTAGTTAGTTTCTTTCAATTTCTTTCAAAAAATGTATCGTCATATATATAGAAAAAAAAAGCTTTTTTTTTTGCTGAAGCTTCCCCCCCAAAATTAATTTCTGGATCCGCTAGTGTAATGAAGCAATTCATTAGTCTCTTCAATCTGCTTCAAAATAAAAAAATATTTTGATTGTTAAGTTTGTCTAATATGTGAAGAGCAATGCGATATGAAAAAAGTTTTTAGTTTTTCGGCTTAATGTGTTCCGTTTTTCCCCTTTTTTTATGTTCGAGTATTTCAAAATTTCTTGCATTTAAAGTTACAACTTTAAGATTAAATTGTATACATTTTTATTTTCTTATTATATTAAATTATTAAATATATTTAATATATTATATATATTAAAAATTGTGAGATTAAATTTTCATGTGATTATATTCGTGTGTACACACTTACTAGATATATTTATATTCTAATAAAGATGTAAATACCATAAATAAATGTTAGCCTATTAATATAGAATTAGAGACATACTGAATGAAATACAATTAAAAACATTAATTGGTATACATTTTTTGGGAGATGACGTCATTCCCAAATCGGTGGGGGAGGGGGACAAATGTCTAAGGCCGGCACTGTAATCTGATAATTAACTTATGATAACAGTCTTGACAGCCGAGAGGTTGTCATCAAATAAACACACGCCTTTCAAAGGTCAACTCATTGGTCAGCCGATAGGATTCGTGATAAAAGCAACTTTGTGTCAATATAACTCTTCTGATAACATTAATCATTGGTTCATAATTGTGGGATGATGGTTGACTGTAGTGAATAATTGAAGAGAAGGAAGGCTGGGGTGATCAGTCAAAATAAAAAATGGCAAAAATATATAATAATGTTTATTGTTACATTTCCTAATATTTCAACAGGCCTTCGTCAGGGCTGAACTTCTGATCGAAACGTTGGCAAATTTAAAAATAAATATTATTTTTTATTTTGACTGATCATCCCAATCATCCTTCTCTTCAATTAAATAATAATGGAGTATTGCTGAAATAAACTCAAAATGTGTGGTTAAAGAAAACGAAAAGAATTAAAATGAAGAGGCAGTATACTGTAATATAGTATATATTAAGGATAATATAGTATAATAGTATAATGCAAAGATAGTAAATGTAAGTAATAATGGAGTATAACTGGTCAACGTGAAATGTGAGATCAAGAAAACAAAAAAGAACAAATTCAATAAGAACGAAAATAAATTAAATTAAAGAGAAATAAGGAAGTTGTCAGCGAAAACGAAAAAAGGAGATTGCTATGGATGTTTTAATAAATTCAGAATTTGGGTATAGGATAAGGATACGTTTTGTTTGTCTGTTTTAGATTCATTGTCTTAGATTATAGCTAGATGTGGAGGGTTTCAGAGATGATTCGTTTGTCATAGGGACTGAAGCAAGGATGGAAGTTTTGTCGAAATCAAATTTATGATTCAGGGAGAGAGAATGTTCGGATAATTTAGATGCAGTAAAATTACGAGAGGGTGCAGTATATTTATGTTGGGTGATGCGGTCTTTAAGAAGATTTTTGGTTTCGCCATTATAAGATGAAAAACAACTGGGGGTTGAACACGGAATACGGTAAAAGATAGAGCCGTGTGAAAGAGGAATAGGATCTTTTAAGGATGTGTACAAATATGGAAGGGTGTTGTGAGATTTTAAGGCAAGTCATAAGTTAGGGCTAGTAGATCGTAAAACTTTGTTTATGTTGTCAGAAAGATTATGTATATAAGGTAGAGATCTGTATATAGATGGCGAAATGGGTTGTGGAGAAACAGTAGAGTTCGAGATTGAGGAAGAGCGATTTCGTGGTCTGTTATAAGTTTGTTGATGACATGGAGAGCAAAATTGTTATTTAAAAGGATCTGTTTTATACGTTACGTTGGATATTGGTTACATGAAATTGGGGATCGGAGAGGAAGAGTCTTCGGTGGATGAGATATTTAGCAACATTAATTTTTTGGTGGTAAGGATGTTTAGAATTGAAATTCAGGAGTCAGCCTGTGTAAGTTGGTTTATTGTACAAGTCTGTGGATATGGTGTTGTTAGGATTCCTTATGATGAGAAGATTGAGAAAAGAGAGAGAATTATTTTATTAACGTATTGTAAAATTGAGGCGGGTGTGGTAAGAATTCAAGGCTGATAGAATATTTGGAATTTTATCTGGATTGAGGATCAGAAGGAGGTCGTCTTTGTATTTTCGAATAAAGATGGTGTCGTCTGGGTATAGAGGGATAATGGGGTCAAGAAGGTCGTTAAGAACGATGTTGGAGATGTCGAGAGTGAGGGGGTTGCCCATTGCTAGTCCGGAAATTTAGTTAAAAAATTGTCCTTGGAAAGTGAGGTAGCCTGATTTACAACATAGAAGAAGGGATTCGAGATAGGAGGAACGGTTAAGTGAGGTGTGGGGCTCAATGATAGGGCAATTGTTGTCTATTATACTAAATGCATTGTCTATGGGTATGTTCGTGAATAAACTTTCAACGTCAAAGGAGCAAAGAATGAAATGGTCTAGAATGGTAAAGGAAATTAGCTGTTCTCGGAGATGGAATGAATTATGTACATCATAAGGGTTGTTGTGACTGAGAATTTGTATGGAAGCTAATAAGAATTTGCTAAGTTTGACTGAAGGAGAATTGATAATGGCCAAGCACGCTTCTCAATTCTTCACGTCACAATCTTTCATTCTAATATTGAATTAAGACTGAATTAAACTATTTAATAAAGAAAGTGATTTAACCCAAATTTCCCTTGCCGGATTCAAAGTTTGAACGCTCGAGTGCGCTTGCCGACCCATTGCATACGATCAGGACAATTTTCCTTCATAAAACAATCTTTACATAAACTCATGGTCATTACTTTAAAACTTTTTTTAACATATTCCTGTTGGCATTTTATGCCCCTAGGCTGGTACTAAGCATAATGTATTAAATCCGGTCTCGTTACTATACTGAAAAGAAAACAATTGATCAAACGATTTGGACTGTTATCAGGAGTACTTGATAGACGTTCCAAATCAGTATCGACTTTAGACATTGTGCGTCCCCGAGCAAATTTCGTCAACATCATCTCCCTTACCTTAAAAAGATTACACTTATTTATTAAGCTGGTTTATATTATGTAATATTTGGATTTTATTTCATTCAATATACCTCTTTGTTTATCCCTGTAGAACAAATCCGATACCTAGGACTCCTGCGGGACAAACGTCTCACTTGGAATCCTCATACAAGACTGAAACGACAAGAAACTGCTCGACGTTTCCGCTTACTCCAACACTTACTGGACAAACGCTCTAAACTTCCAATGAATTACAAACGACTCATATACATGACTATAATAAGACCTATTTGGACTTATGGAGTTGAGCTATGGGGTTCCACCAAACCATCAAATTCCTCTCGTATCCAATCTTTACAATCCAAAATCCTTCGTAAAATCCTCAATGCTCCTTACTTTGTCACAAATAAAATAATCCATAAAGACCTCAATGTTCCATATGTTTCCAATTTGGTCGAATCCAGATACCTAACCTTCCATAATAAACTTCATAACTATCCGAATCCTCTTGTTTCTAATACAGTTGTAAATATCATAATAAAAGTTTAAAAAAAAAAAAATACGTCTAAATATATATATATATATATATATATATATATATATATATTTAATTCTTAACAAGTGGCGAGCGCCCCTCTAGGTCAGCATCCCAGGGCAATCCCCGCAATTGCTCTAAGACCGGGATTCCTTAAAATTATCCCTGACTAACAATCTTACTGAATAAAAATTAATTATAATATACATTTTTATGTTCTTACGGGATAGAGTTATAGATCACTGCCAAAAATTGCGGATGCACCTTTCTATGTGATAAATTACTTATTACACAAGCACGAGAACATTCAAAACTTCCAAGACGGATCTACGGGGAAAGGGGTACTTTCGGGCTGAAGACCTCTCAAAAAGGTAAGATATATCCCTTGTCTTATGAAATAAATATTATAAGCTTATCTCTAAAATTAATATTGTTCGTGTAGTTTATTTAATAGGATTTCAAGAATCATCATCATCAAGAAGAGAGAACTACTAACACCATTTCATAGGCGTAGTTAGTTTCTTTCTTTTATCCCGAAATAATAATCGTATATATATATTTAGAATAAAGTTTTCGGGCTGAAGCCTTCCAAAATTAGATCCTGGATCAATTAGTACCCGAGACTGACTTACAAAATGAACCCATTATCCCATACACTTAATGCCACCTTGAACCCATACATATCCCCACCACGATTTTTAAGTGGTGGCCAAGAGACGTTTAACTCAACTTCTAGCCGGAAGTGTACATATGCTCATTACAAAACACACTTTGCAGATAGCAAATTCAAACCATAACAGATTGAACACTTTTGTAAATAAATAAAATAAATCATTTTTTGTGTATTTTTATCAGTTATTAAGTTTTGTTTGATTTACCGCAAAATATTTGAAAAATAAATACCTCCTTTTTGCTGCCGATATAATGAACATTTATAATAAAACCTTAATAAACAGATACAAGTTGAGAAAAGACACAAAACTTGAAGTATACAATTTCACTCTAGTACCACTGTTTACATATTCCTCTGAATTGTGATCTACCAGAAAACGTCCAGACAATGGAAATGTAGTACACTGCAATAAAATAAAGTGCATTCTTGGTGTGAACCACGGCGGATCTACGGAGGGGAGGGGGAGCTTTCCGGCTGAGCCCCTCCCCCTACCAAAATGGTAAAATATAACAATGTTTTATGAAAAAAATTAACTTTAAAAGTATTATTGTTCGTCTAATTATAGTTAATAGGACTTCAACAATCACTTAAAAACCATTTCATATCATCTTGTGCCAAATCATCATCATCTTGCCAAATAGTCTTATGAGGGATCAGAGCATTAGTTTCTTCTTGCTGCCTGTGAATAAGTTGTTAAGGTGGCTTCTAATAAAAATGTCTAAAGTCCACTAATAAGTTGTGAAAGTTAGCTTATTACCTTACCAAATGTCACATCTTAATTGCATAGCAAAGCATAAGCAAATATTTTTATAGTTTTTGTAATTTTATAGTTGACATATAAACCTACAAAGACTACAAAGAGATTTCAATAAAAGTCCTCAAATAAATTCTAGTTGGGAGAATTGCTCTGTACTTAAATTTTTTTGATTATTTTGTTGTTATTTACTTAGTTTCTAATCCTATGTGAATGTTGTTAACCATAGATGTAATTTAAGAAGCTGAATAGGATTGATCCTTGAAGTTTAAACACACCATTAAGTGGAAATTAATGTATTTATTGTGCACTTATGTTTCGACCCACTTTGCAGGTTTTCTTCAGGACTAAATAAACAAGATACAAACATATAATATGTTAAACATACTTATAAAGTATATTGTATTGTACATACTGCTAAAGGAATAATGTAATAATATTTTAATAGCAATAATAATAATATTTTCTATTATTTACAACAAATTTAATAATGATGAAAATCTTAAAAAAATTTAAATAATGATAATCAACGTGACAAAAAAATTAGAGTATATAGAATGATTGAAAATTAAGTAAAATAAGAAGGTATGGGATAAAAATTTAAAAGGCATATATATGTTTCATATTTTTTTGTTATTTATGATTTTGTTGTATGTCATGGTTTGTTATTTTATTATATTTAATGCTAGCGTTATTAACTGCCTTTTATTTTGTTTTTTGTTATTACTTATTACTTTATAAGTACAATATATTATACTAATAAAGTGTAGTATATTACACCTCATCAGTTTGTATGATATGTTATATTTTTATCAATTTGTAATTCACTACTGTATCATTTATAACTATTTGAATTTCAATTTCCTTATTGTGTTGTTTAATTTAGCTAGTTTCTATAGGCAGTTCTATTTTACCTTTCATTTCTTGCATGTAATTTTAACATCCGCTAACTAAATTTATTTTAATTTTAATATTGATTTTGTACCTTGTTTATTTTGCCATGGAAAGGATTTGCTAAGTAGATCGAAACTTAGGCACACAATAAAGAAAGTAAGTTCTACTTATTATTGTATTTGATCTTCATTGCTAACACTCCTGATCAATTTCTTTTTAAATTTTCTAATCTGATTAATACAAATAACTGTCATTCTCAATAATGATTAATATACCCTATTAATATATTTGTAGTTAGTTATTATTATATTTTATACCCATTAATATTGTTGCAAAATTTACCTTACCTTAATATGATGAGGAAGAAAACTGTTAAGGAATTTTATTATTATTACCAATGCATAAGAAATTATGTAAGATAATAAATAATGCTGTTCCTCATTACTATTATGATGTAACATCAATTTTTTTCATTTCTGATCAGGAAGGTTGCTGTAAAATGAAGCTGATATGTTATCAAATGAAATAGCTTGGCTCAAAGGTTAAACCTTTCCCAGACAAAGAAAAAACTGTGTATAAATATTTAAAGAATTGATAAAAATGACATAATTGAATATTCATTGTGTGTTTTCATTATGAGCATGCATTTAAATTTATGATTCAGTATTAAACACTCAGTTTTAATCATTGCCAAGTTCTTGTTAGATAAAATAATTTCTAAATTGAACTAATTAACATGGTAGCAGTATTGGAAGAAATTAATCAATTAAATAATGAACCCTCAGCCTGTTTGATTTTTCTGCATGGTGTTGGTAAGTTTTATTGTTTATAATAATATGTTGTTTGTTCTCTGTAAAAAATTAAGTAAGCATTTATGTTTTAGGTAGGAGCGGGCAATATGAAAAAAATAAATTTATTAAACTTTTAGGTGAAAATGCTAGCTTTAAACATATTAAAATTGTTTTTCCAACATCACCAGTCAAACATTTTTCTCTTTTTGGCAAGGTAATCAAAATTTGTTTTCTTAGATAATAGTGATATGAAAAATTAGTTAATGAAAGTATTGTGGTCAAGAAAAATTATGAATCCGAATTTTTAACTGAAATACACGTTTCATGCCCCCTAAATCCAAATTACCAAATCTGATATACAAAATGAGAGATATACGAAATGATTTGTATGTGTGAACGGTCTAGCTAAAAAACGATAATTCAAACGAAACTAAAATTACATACTTTAAGGATGTATATGCTTGTGATGTTACTTCGTAATTTCATTTTGGTAAATTTTACATGGGAAAAAAAGTAATTAAAAATATATATTAACTTGTGCAAATTTAATTCTTATAATTTGTAGTATGTAGAATCCTTACTTATTTATTGATTGAATATATTTATGTACTTTCAAATCACTCTTAGTTTAGAGATTGCAGTTATGTGGTTTGAGCCGATTGATGGAGTTAAGAGATATTCATTTCCTATTGATCTTTTTTATGTTGTTTGTAAATTTGTATCTAATAAATTAAGTTTGATTTATTTTGATGGTTTTAATGAGTTTTGTATTGCTAAATATAATCAAAATTCATATGTGTGTTCTTTAAGATTTATTAAGCAACGTTAAAAATGTAATTTTTAGAATAGCCCAATTTTGCCATAAATTAATTTATACTGAAAGTAGAGTGGTAAATGAAAGTTATGTGATGGTACACCAAACTTTTTAAACATGTATTCTCGTTATTTTTCTTTTACTGAAATTGTTTTTCATACTCAATTATTACTACATATATATTTTAGTCATTGAGAAATATAACGGTGTTAAATCTTAGATTTAATTATCTAAATCATTTAAAATAATTAAAAAATAATTTAATTTTATTTATATGGATTTGATGATTTAATTGATATGGCTGATTGTAGGAATGAAGTTTGAGTTATGTTAATTTAGAAATAAATTAATAACAAATAATTTATTTTAAATGTGATTACTTTTTCATTACCATCAGAATGAATTCCGGATATCTATTAATTATTTCTGAGATAATCATGATTGGTTCCTTTCAATATTCCTTATGATATTTTTGAAGACTTAATATTATGTGATTTATAAAATACTCAGTCAGCAAGGTTTTTCAGATGTGAAGATAGTAGTACCTAGTTGAAAAAAAAAAAAAAAATAATAATGAAGAGAAATATGTTTAGTAAATAACATTGAACTGTGACTTAAGAATATGGTGTATGTCCAGTACCCAATGCAATAAGGTAGTGAAGTTTTGTATATTTTTGATAGTAAGTGACAATTTTAATTAGTACATCTTATTTGACTTATCTACATGATTTATAAATTGTTGTCATGTAAATTCAATCATTATTAATATTTGTCATAAACAATTATTTTAAGGATATAATTAATTTATAAAATAGTTTAAGAGTATTTATTCCTGATTATATTGAAATAAATCTTAATGTAAATAACATTTATATACAGGGTAATTTCTGAGCGTATAATAGTTAAGGTAACTGATGCTAATGAGTGAGAGAATCACTTTATTTTCATAAAAGGGATCTGTCCAATTATATTGGGTTGCTACAGAAACAGCACACTTATCAATCAATACAATTAACACTTCTTATATCCTAACCTCTTCCACCTGATCCACACAAAATCTCTTCGGCCACCTTCTTTTTATCTTCTTATCACAACATTCAGAAGATTACTTTAACCTTATTATTTTATGATACTGGTCGGATTTTGTCTTTTCTCTCTATCTGGCCATTTGTGGATTACGCGGAAGTTACCAATTTATTCTAGCCAGAGTGGGGAGTTCCCTTCTGTTAGTCCTCTACAAAATAAATTTTAACTAGTCCAGGATTTGAGGCTGTGTCGGACAAGCATGTTAAAGCGCTACCTGCTTTGACTTTGTGAGTCTAGTGGCACAAGTTTAAATCGGTCCTTGGCAGATTGAAATTTATTTTGTGGCAGACACATGGAATGAATTTCGAACTCCCCTCTATGGTTAGAATAGGTTTGGTTATATCTCTAAAATTAGTAAATTGGATATTATAATGAATCTGAGTAATGACATAGACCGAAATACAGATTGAATCTTTATATTGTAATGCATCTGAAATTATATTTTAGTTATACTCTTAAGTACCTGATGAAATACAACTATTTTTCAATAACTATACTTATTTTAGGATACAAATTGTTGGTTTAATGCTGAAGAAGAGAATGGAAGGATGAAAACTTCCCTTTCTGAAATAGACGAAGCTGCAGATTCTTTGAGAGAGATCATAATCGAACAAGAAAAATGTGGAATAAAACGTGATCGTATTGTAATTGGTAATTATAATGCTAATTTTCTGTTAATGAATAGCTTTTAGCATGGGTGCTTTTATACACTTTTATAATACCTATTTAAGTTTTACTTGGTTATATTTAGATTTCTTGACACAGGTGTTTTCATCTGACTGCGAACTGCCATACAAAGTTTTGGCTTATTAATTTCAAATTATTGAAAGAGCTTCGTAACAGAGTAGTAAATAGCTAAAATATCTTATCCTTTTCTTTAGTTATAACCATTTTTTCTAAGTGTGATTTTAAATTGACATAAAATGACTAATTAATATTTACTTATATCACTTGAAAATATACTCAAAATTATTAAAATTACTACCAGGAATTTCTATTTCCAACCATTACTTTTTGTCAGAAAATATAATAAATATGTCTCGGTTATAATTTTATAATTGCAGAATAAGAGAGAAACAAAAATCATTTACAGATAGTTTTCGAAGGAATGATATTTTCAAGTCACACTTCTTACCCATATATTTACTTTTGGTTCTTGTTTCTATTTTTTTATCAGAGATTATTTGGCTTATTTTTCTTATTTATTTCCATCTTGAGTACCTAAAACCGTTTTGTTTTGAGTATATTCTGTTATGATCCCTAAATTAACAAAATCATATTTTAAAAGCAAACAAAAAAATCATTTGATATGTTTTATTACCCGAGGTGGTGAATCTCAAGGTGGAATGATATCTCTTCATGCTGCTTATCGATTTTATCCAGAAATTGCTGGTGTTGTTGCAGTATCAGCTTGTTTACCAGAACAGCATACAGTTTACAAAGTAAGAAGTATAGTTATTCTTAAGTAAAAAGCCATTATATTACCAATTTATATATTTATTTATATATAATTTTTACAATGAAGTTTTGTCTAAAACTAGAGCCATTATGAAATCTTATTTTGTAATTATTTGACAAATATGTAGTAACAAATATATCTTATTTTAAAAAAACATAAGTTGGGTCTACCATCGTGTTTAGGTTTACATTGGGGGGACTGGTATCCAAGGATAGAAAATATGGATATAAATAATATATAAAGCAGTTACTAATAGCTATTATTTTTAATTTAAAAACTTTTATTTCAAAGTTTTAATTATAAATTTGTATTTTCTTATGTAATACAACTATCATAATAATTATTGTTTTCAGATATGAGAAATTATTTGCTAAGATAATTTATCTTGACTTTAGAAATGTCAAAAACTGATATTTAATAACTTTATGATTCTTAATATGCACTTAATTTACAATTAAAATTATATTAAAATACACACTTATGGTTAAAAAACATAGTATGTTGTCAAGATCCAAGAAATATCAAATTTTAAATTGCGAAAGTAGATCACTTCTTAATTTGTATTTATTGATGTATCTTATTATTAAATGTCATACTGAAAGACCTAGGTGAATATAGGCATTTCTTTATTTTATGTTTTATACATGTTTTATGTTATGTACAATGTTTATTTTATCATCTCAGAAGTAGTTAGGTAGAGGAAAGGATTTTAGTTCTGTGTATGTAATCAATTTCGTACATTTCAACATGTTACAATTTATTATTTAAAGTTTTATTTAAATTTTATTTTTACAATCCTATATATTATTTCTAAAAGATGTTTTTTTTTGTCGTTATGGCATAACTTTGTCAATTCTTCATCAAATCCAATGACTGACCGCTCCTTTTGAAGATATTCTTCTCCTTCAAATGCGAAAAATAGTCCTATCCCCCCGCAATTTCTGGAAAAAAGTTATGAAGGAAAAGAAACTTTATTTGCGAATAACTCAAAAAGTAAGCATTTTTTTCTGGAGTGTACCCATAATAATTAGAAAGATTACTAAATCACCTACAAAACAAACAAAAAATTGGACAATTAATAACAAAGATACAGTCCATTAGTTTTGGTATACTTAATAATGTCTTCCTGTTTAAAGATATTGCATTTTGGAGTAGAATAGTCTACTACACTTTTTTCCTGGCTGATATATTAACTTTATTATTTCTTAAAGACATTTAGTTATTCTTACATTTTATTTTTTTTTAATAATTTAGAAATTCCCATGACCGGGGAATTATTTTGTCTTTATTACTTTTATTATCTTTCCAGTCAGCGTTTAAAAATAGGTCTTAGCAAAACAATTTGTACAAATATTTGTGTCTATTATGTTTAATGCAATATTGTAATCGACCATGGAAAACATATTAATTCCTTCCTTACATAATAAATAGGGACTACTTATTTCCATATTGTTTTGCTATTTCTTCACCAAACAAAATTTTCTGCTAATTATTTGCTCGGGCCAACTAGTTAATTTTTAATTATAGATGAACACAGTTTAGTCATTTTTTGTATTGTTAAAAACCATGAACAAATCATATTATATCTTATAATAACTGAAAAATTTGGAGTTAAGAAATCTACAAAACAGTGAATTTGTCAATTTTCTTGATTTTGTAGGAAGTTTAATAAATGTTAGAAGGTTCAGTAAACATCTTCAATGTTTTGTTTTTTTACTTATGATTCATTTTTTCATTTGTTGACATTTTGAGGTTGTATCTATATTTTCATAACATCCTTTTATTTAACAATTATCCAAATTGTATGCCATTTGTAAAGTTTATTATAAAGTTAATAATCATTCGGTAATTTTTATTATATTTCTCTAATGTCTTCCTTGCTGTTACATTTTACAACTATCATCGAATTCACCGATTATTACTACTATTTTCGACAGGTATGAATAAATAATTATAAGTTGAAAAAATCGAAAGAAAGAAAAGAAAGACATTTTCTAAACATTTTTTTCTCTAACAAAGGTGCTAAAAGCAAAAAAAAAAAGTTTGTTACATGTGTTTTTTGTATTTATAAAGGATTAACAATTATGTTGAATAACTAGATATTTTGAAAAAGAGGATACAATCCAGAATGGTCAGCAAACAAAAAAATGAAATATAAGTAAAGAAAAATTATAAGATCTTTAATTTGCTGAACCTTATAATAAATTGGTTTTGTAAATAATAATAACAATAATAATCTTGTAGTATTTTAAATTACAAATGTACAATTCCTTTTGAATTTGAGTTTAGATCATAATGAGATTAAGGAAGGTATCCATATGTTATTATTAAGCTGCTATTATGTCATCAAGTATGGGCAAAGAACTTAGTATGCAGAGGCTTAGCTTGGGAAGTCACACATAGTGAGAGAATAGCCAACTCCCTCTAAATAAACTTCAGGCACTTGTCATGTCAAATATAACATCTTAAATAATTTGTTAAAATTTTGATTTGTTTTTCATTTTTTCGTTTTGTGCTCTGATTCGTTGTAAATTAATATTGCATTAACAAAATGGTTATTTCTAGACCCTTGCGCACTAAAAGATTCTTCCATAAGGTGTTTACTTATATCAATTTAAAACTTATTGGAGTGTTACTACTACATATGGACAATAGCTGAAACTGATATCCCTCTATTTAGCAATAATTCACTATAAAGATATCTATAGATTGTTAAACAGATGTCCCATTGTACTGCCATTTTCATTAATATTCTTCATATTTCAGGCTGCTAAAGATTTAGAGAAACGTCCACCGCTTCTTATGATTCATTCATCAAAGGATGGAATGATTCCATTCGAATGGGGTAAAATAGCTTTTGATCGACTGGAAGCTGTTGGTGTAGAAGGGAAGTTTCATGAAATTGCTGAGGCATCACATGAATTAATTCTTCAAGAATTAGAAATCATCTATAAGTGGATGGAAGCTATTCTTCCTCAAATTTGATTTTATAAATTTGATTTTTATATTATTTTATTAAATAAATTATTTAAAAAAATATTTTTCATGTTTGCCTGACCTAAATATTTCACAACTAGAAGGAAAGAAGCTCAGCTTATAAAATTGCTGTTTCTATAAAACTGTTCGAAGTTTTAGATAATTTTTAAACATAATAATATTTCGAACAATAGTTAAATTTACCCACTATTATAATAATATTTCATGTATGCAAAAAGTTTTTTTTACAATTTTATTTCTGAGTCTGATAACTCTAGTTTTAAAATATAAGATTTTCCTCATTTTTTCCAATAATAAGAAACACAATTTAGTTTTTTAAGACATTTTATTTATTTTGCCTCTTAAAATTTTTGTTGAGTACTTTTTAGTTTCCTACCAATACTAGGTAAGGAAAGTATTGCTATCATGTCAATTTCCGATATGCGGTTTTCGATGGTCTATACGTTTTAGAGCCCCAGAGCTTGTTTTTTTGAAAGGTAGTGAAATAACTTACAAAATCGTTCATTTTGGACAACTATTAACGAAGTTACTGCTATTCAATTTCCAATTTAAGATTAGGGGTACATATCCTGGTGTCAGAATGGGATGAATGAAAGGAAAAATATAACTTAATAAAAGTAAGAAAATCTGTTGCCTGCATCACACAAGCTTCACTATTACCTCTGCTTTTAACAGAAATTATTGTTTGACAAAATTAGGCTATGGCAAAAAGTTCTTGATCAGTAATATTAGAGGGTATTAAAATGTTTACACTGATCTATCTTAAGCCGGTTTACATTGCTTTAATTTATTTAATAAATCGTACTCAAATCTTTTCTTTGATCAATTTTCAGGAAGATATTCAATTTTTTTTGTTTCTTGATGGACATATGTAAAGATATAAAAACTTTTCTGAAATAGGTAGGAAAGTCGTGTGAGTGGACACACCAGATTTTTTTTTTTAAATTGAACCTTCTGTTAGTTCCTTTTCTTATCATACAGGCTATGGTAAAAGTATTAGCACATTATTTTTTAAAATATTAATCTATTTTTCAAGTTGATACTTGAAATAACAGAGGTGCGCCCCTACCTGAGAAAATTCCTGGATCCACCACTGGAGTGAACCACAGCAGCCTACTATACAGTGGCTTAATAATACTGTTAATTATTAAGCCACTGTAGCCTACTACTTGTGGAACTCCATAAAAAAAATATGTATATAAGGGGAAACATGTTTGCATTGCAGAAACCCATAAATGTGCAATTGTAAGTGTTAAGTTTTTTACAGACTTACTTTCGTTATAAAGTATAAAATAAATATGCTTTGTAAAATTTATGTCTATTTCATTTAGTGTTCTGTTTTTTATATTCAGATAATTTACGAAGGAATGCAATTTTGACGCGTGCCCTAGGCGTAATTTTCGGTTGGTATGCCATTGGATTTCCAGTGCATCCAACAGTACAGGGAAGTGACAACTGTCTGGTAATGCTACAATCTCATGTGAAAGGGACCTGTCAGAGGTTTGTTTATCAATTTGGTGAGAGCGGACACTTCAAGCAGCGATGTAATTTAAGCCCCGATTTTAACTGATAAGCACTAGCGGATCCAGGATTTAATTTTGGTGGAGGGGCTTCAGCCCGAAAGCTTTTTTTCCATAAAAATAACGATAATTACTTTGGAAAATAAGAAAGAAACTAACTACTTATATGAACTGGTGATTCCTAAAGCCCTTTTAAATGTAATTACACAATTAACTATACTTTAAGAGATAATTTTTAAATATTTTTTTTGATAAAACATGGTTATATTTTACCATTTGGGGAGGGGCTTCAGTCCGAAAGTCCCGTAGATCCTCCCGTGCTGATAAGGATAAGTGTGCAGTTTCCCGAAGGCGTATATCACTATCTAAACAAAGTAAAGTTATTCTGAGAACACGTTGTCCATCTTCGGCTATAACCCGGAATCCTATTTTTAGCGTGATCTTGATTCACTCGTCACAGTGGAGTGACAATTATACAGTAGTACCTAGGCCCTATACAGTAGGAATCTAGGTCGAGGTTTTATTGCAGGAAGTGACATCAAACAAAATCAAAGTTAGGATTCAAGAGCGAGGTGTAAAAACTTGTATACCTTTTAGTTTATAGAACCGTGCTTTTCAACCTGTTCAACCGTCCGTGAACGTCTTTCTCTAAACGCTACTTTGTTTGTGGCAGTTAAAGAACCTATTGTTATGGAGATTTAATGGACATTCATTTGACACTTTAACTTCTAGCTAATGAAGGAAGGAATAATAACTTTACACAAGCCATCTAAAAATGAGAACTCTGGTAATTCATTAGTAGTATAAACCCTCCATTCTACGTGCCTTCTGAGGCACTTAAAAGAAAATGTTCAATGAAGACATTACTGACTGGAATTCATAAATAGTTCACTAGAATTCTAAGTTCGGCCTCTGTTTCAATAATAAAAAAAAAGAAGCATAAAACCAGAGAAAGTTATTTAAAAATTCATAAAAATCTTTAAAGATTTATGGGAAAAAAAGACCTACCAAGTGTTCCTCTATATTATATTACGTAAGGAACTTAATGAGGGCCAAGTAGAGGATCAGTAGAGCTGTGGTAAACCAACAAATAACAATTAAACCTTATGTATTCATGTAAATCGCTATACATTTCTAGAGGATACTATAGAACTATACTATAGAACAGAAACTAGAAGATTTATTATTGACACAATCTTACTAAATATAGGATGGAACTAAAAAGAACCTAAATACAGGATATGTTGACATTTGTAAATTAAGTCGTGGTAAAGGTCTCACATTCTATTGTTAATATACTATGTTTCAATAATTGCTTATGTTGTCTGAATGTTGTGTAAAAGAGGAATCTGATGTACTACTTTTCAGAATGACACATTTAGTAAGACATTTTAGAAAGTGATATTTTTGAGAATGTTAAATTGGAAGATATGCAAAAGGAGGATGTAGAAATAGAAAGTTTTAGATTCGTCTTTTTTAACGAAATGTTATGAATTTATTCATTTTATAAATCTAAAAAGGAGAAAATTGGGAAATAACCAATTTGTTGTATTCAGCCTTTTTGCACAATACTGACAAAATTAGTATCAGATTTCCAGGTTCGGTGTTTAACAGAGTTTCTTGAAGAATGTTTTGGATTCTCCTCCCTTCCAGATACACTATTGCCGAAATTGTGCAAGAAATCAGAAAAGCTTTTATAAAACGATACGTAAACGCCGATATTAAAATATTTAGTGTTTTAAATAGTTTTAGAAGTTCTGATTATTTGTTTCTTTATGTACTTTAGGGTATGGAGTGGGGTAGCTCAGTGGTAGGGCACTGAGCTTCCAATGCAAAGGTCCCAGGTTCGGACCCCGGCTCATGGCAGAAAATTTATTTATCTGTTTCATTGGCCGTGGGGCGACCCTGGGTTGGAAGTCCCTCCTGGGGCACACCTAGCCTCTATAAAAGTGGGTACCCTTAATTAAATAATTAATTAAGGGGAAAAACCTGGCGGTTGAGCGAGATCTCGGTCAAATCACCTCTCCTTGCACAACCGTTGACCTAGAAACAGTACTTTCTCTAAATAGTACTTAACCCTAGACCCTTCATGGGTTGTAGTGGTACAGGTTTATGTATTTTAGGGTAATGATTATGATTTTCATAATTATTAAACGTAAGAATGATAAAATCTTTAATTAATGTCGTTAATGGATTTTATTTAATTATTGATCAATAATCCTGAATTAAAATAAAGGTATGTGTGTTATATATCGAACGAAATTCAGAACAATATTTAAAAAATTGTAAAAAGGATAATTTTAAAATCGCCTAAATTTTCGCATGATTTCACAGTGTCGCTAGGGAGAAACTTCAATTCTTCTATATAAGGTTATTGTCAATAGAGGCCTCTTACTTTTAAACATGACGTTCTTGAACGTCCCAAGAAGATTGTAGATGAAATTTTGTTTATTCTTCAATTTGATAATTGTTAACTATGAGTGTATACTGAAGTTTACTATATACTTTTACAAATCCTTATTTTGTCATCATACAAACGTTTTTACTATTTATATTCTTTCTAGTACAATTGCGGATACTTTTTAAATATTTTTGTATAAGAAAAACTAATGTTTTATGTCATAGGGATAGGTCTTGGTGATGCTAAAGACATCACTGTTAAGGGCCTAGAAATAGTTAAATCAGCAAGTAGGGTTTATCTGGAAATGTTTACATCAGTGTTGTCAGTCGGAAAGGATGGATTGGTGACTATTTAGATTGATTAGTAGACTAACACCTTATTACAAAAAACAATTATCAGCTTAAATTTTTTTAGGAAGAATTTTATGGTAGAGATATCATTATTGCTGATAGAGAATTGGTTGAAATGGAGGCTGATACAATTTTAATGAATGCTGATAAGGAAAATGTAGCATTTCTAGTTGTTGGTGATCCTTTTGGTGCCACTACCCATACAGACCTGGTTTTGCGGGCAAAACAAAAAAACATACCTACTAAAGTTGTGCACAATGCTTCAATTATGAATGCTATTGGTTGTTGTGGATTACAGGTAAATCTTTTTCAAATAATTAATGAGGTCTTGTTTATCAATTTGGAATTTAAAATTCATGAAAAAATAAAATCAAAGATAAATGTATGAATGCGCATTATTTATCTTATGCTGAATAGTTTGTTTTTTAGCTATTATTCTGTTGGATTACATTTAACTAAATTTATATTTTAACTCTGCAATTTCTCGTACTCCATGTGCAGATATGATTTGGGGCACTCATCCAGATAGAGCACTGAATTACTTGTTTTTGAAAATAAAGAATTTCTTTGAATATTTAGCTTAAAGAAGGACGGGTTGACTTAAGAATCACAGAATTTTAATAACTGCATTATTCCAGATAGCGTCTCCAACCCCCAGTTAGTATGATCAAAATTTATTTATTTAGTTTTTCTTTTGTGTGACACCCTGGTTTTTCAAGAGATTTAGTTAAATTGCATCATAAACTGACTTTGTAAAAGCACTTACATTTTTGTGATGTTCAAATCTACCGATTAACTAATAGTTTATAAAAGTATTACAGAGTATGGAAAAATATAATCCATTATTGTTTTTATGCTTTCTTACATATAGATTATATAGCAAGTAGTATCTAGTGTAGAAATATTTGGCTGGAAGAAGTGCAATTTGGATTGGGTAGATTTAGGCCTCATGATATGGTTGTCCATCATGGTGTTATGTTTAAGTTAACTGACTGGACTGTAAATGATTGTGGATAGATTGTAAAATTACCTACTACACTCATATATGCCAACACAAATATTCAGTTTTCTCCTTAGGAGATAATTTTTTATCAACTTACCATTTTGTGTACTACATTTATGACATGGATTAATGTATTTACACTTATAGTTATCTTTTCTTTTTTTAAAATTTCAGTTATATAATTTTGGAGAAACAGTGTCTATTCCATTTTGGACTGATACATGGAGGCCTGATAGCTTTTTTGAAAAAATATGTTCCAACAAGCAAAGAGGTCTTCATACACTTTGTCTTTTAGGTGAGTTAACATTAGGCAGGCTGTAGGGTTGGAAGGTTGACCATAGTCAAAAAATTGTTGCTGAACACATTCCTGACAATTTCCGGTCACAATTAATTTTAAGAAATAATTAATTTGAGTTTTTTTAAATATACGGTGATTGATTCCTATCAAGGAGATTTTCGTACTGCCATTTAGAAGTGGAAATCATCTTTATTCTGGGACTAGGTACCTTAAGAATAACAATATTGTACATATAAATTAACAATAAATCTTTCCTAGACCTGTTACAATAAAGAATAACTAAAATACAAGTAATAAAACAAGTATATACATAGCTTATTTATTACAAGTATATACATAAGATATATTAACAAAAGCGGATGATAATAGGGTTACGATACTACAATATTCAATCTAAAATAATAATCACTAAATAAAATTAGAAAGGAACGCTAAATAAATTTTATAGGGAAAGCATTGTTATGATAGAATATAAAAATTAAAGAAAATAACTACTGTAAACACATAGAGATATTGTGAAAAACTAGACAAGTATTGTGATTGAAAACTACCTCTGAAGTGATTGAATAGGAGAATAAGCAAAAAAAAAAAAAAAAAAACATAGAGAGGAGAGGAGTGTTATGAAGATAAAGATAAAATAAAAACATTTCAAAGCAATACAATCTTATGAATAGGAAAAGTAGAAGTTAAGAAAAACAAGTTATTCCTACTCACAATACTTTGTGAATGGTCAAACATTTATATTAAAAATGTTTATTGTTTTTCTTTACATTATAAAATTTGCTATTTCTTCTCAAAAAATAAAAAATGCTCTTCGTAAAATGTCAGATTATTTTTTTTTTTGAGTGAAATTGGGAGAATTCAATACTTCTTTGTTCATTTGAGTGAATTTTCAGAAAAAAACATTTTTAATTGGTTGACAAAGAAGGATTTTGTTAATTATTTATTAACTTTAAAATACTATAATTTTATACTTAAAATACTTGGTGAAAATTGGGCAATTATTAAATAATTATAATTGTTATCTAACGTAGACTTCAATTCATTTCTTGTTACTTGTTGCTGTGAGCTCCTAATTTTTATAATTCCTGTTTCCTGGAGTTTCCTATTTAAATCTTGTCCTAATGGCTCAAAGTTTTTTTTCTACAAGTTTTCTAATAATTATTATAGAACTCTGGTCAAAATATTGTTTATTCAAACAAAATTGTATGTGGTTTTTTCTCTGGATACCAAACTTATGGAAAGTTATCAATTAGGTATGATGGTCTTTGGAAAAAGAAAATGTTGGCAGATGATTTTCTCTTATTATATTTTATAATTTATATGCATTTGAATTATTATTGATTCTTTAATAAATCTACTTCCTAAAGAAAAGATTCAAGGGATCTGTTATCATCTAATTCTCAAAAATATTAGATCAGTATGATTGAATTTCATTTTCTTCCTCCTGTTACTTTTTAGTCTGGATAATGACTTACAGGATGCAAAATCAAAAAATCCCTCCCAAAAAAATAATAAATTAGTTCTCTCATAAAGAAACATTAGAGAAGGCATTTCAACTAGTCTGCCCATCAACAATTTATCATTGTATTCACCTCATAAAACTGTTCATTAATACTATTGGGTTGTCCGGAAAGTAATGCAGGATTTTGGTTTAACAAGAAAGATTTATAACTGTTTTATTTAATCAAAATTGTCTCCAGTACTATCAATACATTTCTGCCGTGTTGGCAACCTTTTCATTTCCTCGGAATAGAATTTCCATCTTTAGAATTGATAAACTCCAAAAACGCATTTTCTAATTCCTTTTATCCATTAAATTTTTTGTCATGTAAGTAGGGTTCCAAGTGTCTAAAAAAATGATAATCCACAGGAGAGTAGGGCAGATATGGATTCATATCCAAGCTCCAACAGTTTTTGTGACGTCACACGTGAAACATATGGCCGGGCGTTGTCATGTAACAAATTGGACCCCTTCCGATTGACCAAAGATGGCTTCATTATTGCCAATTTCTGATGCATTGCATTAATTTGGTTACAATAGGATTTGGCATTGATGGTTTCTCCAGGATTCTGTTGACATTCATACAAATGAATAATCTAGTAAAGATAAACAGTTTGTTATATAGAGGGTTATTTTAAAGAAAACTCAAAATTCGACATTATTTTCCGTACAATCCAAGAGTTGTGTACATAAGGAACGGTTATTGTTCTTTATAAAAATCAAAAAAGACAATTTTGATTAATTTATTTTCTGTTTAATTAGATATTAAAGTCAAAGAACCTACTCCAGAAAGTTTAACAAAGAAGAAAAAAGAATATCTACCACCAATGTTTATGACTGTCAAAGAAGCTTCCCAGCAGTTAATGGAAATTGTCAAAAATAGTGATGATACAGTGATTGACAGAGATACTCTGTGTGTAGGAGTTGCTAGAGTGGGTTCAGACGAACAAGAAATAGTTTGTTGCACTCTCAATGAGATGACAATGAAAAATTTAGGAAAGCCTTTACATTCCCTTGTAATTGTTGGCAAACTGCATCCTTTAGAAGAAGAATATCTGAATTTTTTGTCAAATTAAAAAAAATCTTTTTTATTTTAAGAAGACTTTTTTTGTTACCAATAATTATTTTTAGTTTAACGATCATTAGTTGATTATTTCAGGAAAGCTAGTAAGTTTCTACAAAATTTTAGATCAGTGGAAAATTAATTTCACTATACCAAAACTAGTTATGTTTATTTCTTGATCAAACCAATTATTTAGAAATAACATTTTTGTTTGTCCTGAGCTATAATCATTTATTCACTTTTTTCATGAAGTTACAGGGTGAGAATGAAATTTTGCATTATTGTTTCATATATTAGATGATTGGAAAAATTCATAAAATGATATAGTTCTACTTATCTTTGAGTTTTGTTGGCTCAAAACAACTTTTAGGAATTTTCATTATTCATTATTACAATATTGACAAAGATGTGTACAAATGTTGAGTCCTAATACAAAGAGAAGTATCTGAAGTCTTCAAACTTCGAACGAGCTTACGGCAGAGAGATGGACTATCACCAATGTTCAATTTAGGCCTAGAGACTTTAGACAGTAAGGTTAGATAAAATTGGAATCCATCTCTTCTCCATGAAATTCCGTTTCTTTTGGCACCTTGTTAGTAAAAACGTTTCTAACCATATAACATATTTTTTAATTTATGTTAAGATAGTTTTATAGGAAACATACATTAGATTTTATGTAGATGTGAAATGCCTCTAATATGTTTGAATAGGTTAAATTTATTTTACCCAATAAAATAAATTCATATCCCACATTAAAAATGGGAATTCAACAAGAAGAAAAAAAATAAACCATAAGATCTAATTCGAAGAGATCTTTCTATAAATGTTTCAATAGGGCTTCTGATATGGCATGGCTATAATGAGCCTTTCAAAATATTCTTTTTTAAAAACTGAAGCTTGGGTCACTAACTTTGTTGTAAGTCATACACTCATGCTACTCTGATAACTACTATTTTAAGTTTTAAAACCAAAAATGTGTGACTTACGTGAAACGGATATTCTAAAGAAAATTTTTTAGACTTCAATTCAATGAAAAAAAAAAATTAAGACGATTCTGAATTTATTGAATAATGAGCTTTGTAATTAATAAAATAAAATATTTCTAGAAATGATTATTTATCTGAAGTTCTTTCTTCCAAGTGATGCATTTTTATCTTTATGGAAATATAGAAACCCATTAAGAATTGAGTTACTATACCAAAGGAAGGAATAAAGATGATAATTATAAGACATATAAATAAAAAATATATTTTCAATTAACATTGATCACTCATAATAACTTTACATGTTTCAACTTTCTATTAATAACAACTCAATATCCTTAACATAAACAACAACTTGAATCAATTAAGATAAAATAACATAAATTAAATTTATAATAAATACAAAGAAAAAATCAACACTTGTACAACAATAAATTAATTACATTTAAAATTAAAGCTTTTCAGTTTTAAAAACACTAATTCAATAAATTTCTATCAGTTTAGTTTAAAAAACAACAACTTATTTTCCTTTAATTCATTTTTAAAATAATATGTAAATTCTAATGATTATAAAACAATGAGATATACTTACTTAGGTTTATTATTCTTTCTTGGTCTTAAGATGTTTTCTCAGGAAATAGTTCTTCAAGGATAATATCAAAAAACACATAATACAACTGGAAAGAAAAAATAAAATAATGATTATTATAAAACTATATGCATAAAATTGTGAGAAATATAAAGGTAAATAGATTTCTATCATTTGACTATTTAAATAAAAGCATGTACCTTGACAGTGACTTATCAAACAACTTTCACTTACCATTCTGCTTTGAGTATAAATAGGTATTTTATTTTCATATATAGGAAAGTGAAAAGAAAAAGTTGTAAATAAAGCAACATATTCATTTAAAACAATTAACTAACCAATCAATCTGTTAAATGTATGCCTTTCTTGGATCACTTAGAAAGTAATACTGTCCAATAGTATATTATTTATGATTGAACTACTATTATCATTTCAGGAAATTAAGTTTTAATCTAGAAAAATGTTTTTCTTTTTTTTTAAACTTCAAATGATGAGACTAATTATTAAAAAAAAAATTAAATAAGCAAATTCACTGTTTTAAGCATTTTGTTTACTTTTAGCTCAAGTTAGTTTTTAACCACTAATGCATCATTTTATAGCTACATACCTACATAATTATTCATGTACTAAAAGCATTATTGCTAAAAGACACAAACATCATCAGTATAGTTTTTATGGAGCTAATCTTTTTTGTACATATTTGTGGATATTTATCGTATTTAATGATGCAATTACTCATTAAGTGCATACAAATAAAACTAACACACTTATATGCCAAAAATAATTACACTACATGCTATGTCTTTTGATTTGACAGACTGAAAATTCATCAAATTTTTTGGTAATTTAATATTTAATTAACTTTTACAATAATGGGATGGTAAGCTGGTTCTTCTTCTGCAGGACATGTAAGATTTTCGCCACACATGCTGCACTCACTAGTTCTAGATTAGAAGAATCAATAGGTCTTTTTTTGCTCCGACATAAGGGGTTCACCGCGGCCTCAAAAAGGTCTATTGTGCATCGTCCTAAACTCAGTTAAAACAGGGCAGATGCCTTTGCTTATCCTTTCTCCAGATACCAGCCCCTGATCCCTGCTCCATTAAGGAGCCGTCGGTGTAACAGTTAACTCCATTACACAGTCTATGTGAGTTACTCCTGCTTATGTTCAGATTATATAATATGTCTCTATAATTATTAACTTGAAGGTCAGAGTTCATCGCAAGTACCTCATTGCTATCAATCCTATCAAAAACGATCCCATGGACCTGTAAACGTGAGGAATTTCGATTTGGTTCCCAGTTTATCCATCCTACAGGCAGTTCTGAGAGCATGTGCTTCCACCTCTAAATGAAATGGTGTCAGATTCAAAAGAACCTCCATTGCAGTAGTGGGAATAGTGCTCATAGCTTCCATCATAAGGCATGCAAGCCTTTGAAGTTTAACAAGCAGCATTCTAGGCCAGCCTGTAACTGCCCTATGCCACCACACCACAGTTGCATATACGATTAAGGGTCTAATCACAGCTCTATATAACCATAAGGCCATGCTGGGTTTCAGTCCCCACGATTTGCCAACAATTCTACATGTCTATAAACAGTGTATAGCCTTACCACTAATCTTTTTAATATGTATTAGCCAATTTAACTTACTATCTAAAGTAATCCCAAGATGTTTTACTTCACTACAAATATTTAATGTTGTCCCATTTAATGATGGTGGTCTAATGTTAATATTTTTTCTATTAGAGAAGATACAAAGGTTTATCTTCTGTGGGTTAATGCCAAGGCCATTTTCCTGATACCCTTCCTTCAGAAGTCTCATATTTTTCTGCTTTAATTCATTATCAATTTCTTTCATAGTTCATATTTATAAATTTTATTATTACTAACGATGTGAGAGGGTAATTGTTTCAAATAAACAAAATTGAAGGTACTTTAGATTTTTTGAAAAATCGGCAAATAAGCTCTGTCAGACTTTTTCAAAGAGATTGATAACGAGTTTAATCAAAATCGTTAAGACAGTTTTGGAAATAGTAATATTGATTAAGATGTCACTTCTGGTTTAACGATAAAAGTTGCTATAACATCCTACACATATAGCTACCTTAAATATATAATTTTAGTTTCGTACAACTTTTCATTTTTTAGTTAGACTAGGAGAACTATTGGGACTCAGAGAACCTTAAAAAACATGTACTTCTGTTGAAAATTGGTTTAAAATTTTTCATGAACGTAAAAAAAAACCTATAATCACTATATTTTTAATTATATTTACAAACCTATCTCATGAGTATACCTGTTGTTATATATATAAAAAAAAATATATATATTGATGGGAAAGCAAATGTTATTTAAAAGCTTCTTTAGATTATTAATTTAGATTCTAAACAGAGACTAAATGGTCATGTAGAAGTTTTCCCAATCAAGTGGAGTCAACTACTATTGTTTTTTAAGTCAACAATTAATATAATTAATAATCATAGATTGAAGTGATACAATGCATACAGTATTACAATATTTTCAGAGCATTACTAAGTGTACATATATGTCTATTAGGTACAAATTTTCATCTCAAGTAAAAAATCACAAAAGGTTGCTTAATTGTGTTCAGTCGCTAATTTACATAGCACACTTATCAATCAGATAGACAAGGCTCTATTGCCATTAGTGCCTGGAACGTTTTGATCATATTTTCAGTTCTTCAAGTTGGCAACAGGAATGTGCCTTATGGCTTCTAATTATGTACGTCTAGGAATCCTCTTCTTAGATCCTCCGGAGAGATAGTCTTTAGTTCGCAACCAGCCTAACTACTTTATAAATGGAGTAATATGATCAGCAGAAAAATGAAATGTACAGCTGCATTGAGAGCTTTATAGATTCTGACATCTGAATCTGATATATCAATATGGACAGAGTCACAGTAACATCTCCTTAACTTCGATCATCAAAAAATACTTTACTTTGAGAGGGAATGCATGGCATTGTAAACTCGATCTACAATGAGATTGGTACAATTATGCCATGTCATGGAGCTAGCGACTATCAAATCATAGCTAATAAAACATTTTGTTCCTTTACAATTGGCACAGAGTAAATTTTATGTATTGTTTAAATTATTTTCTTTGTGTTATGAAGGTGATATTAATATTTATTTACATTACAAATTACCATAATTAATTTCAACTAAATAATTATATGATGTTTTCTTAGTATTTTTTTTTTTTTTTATATTCTTCATTAATCCAAAAATTTTTGTAATCCAATACTACTAATCCTGATATAAACATTGGGTCATACAATGAGCAAGATGAAACCTAGACTTAATACAAATGATATAGGACTCAAAGAGAATTCATAATAATGACAAGTAGGTAACAAGAAACTTCAATCATATAATATTTTGCTTTCATAGAACTAGACATTATTAAGAGTCTGTGGTGACTGTACTTTTTAAAGATTAAAGGTTAATGGAAAATGATTACCTGTTTATTAACTAAAGGATTCTGAAGTATCATAAATATAGATTCATAAAAAGTATGTGAAAATCCTTTCAGTTTCCCAATTTTTTCAGCTAATGCAGCAGATACTTCTTTTGGATCTGTTTTCGTATTCTTTTCAAATAGAACCCCTGAAACGTATTACGGTAATTTAAATATTAAAACATCATATAAATATATATAATATAAATATATCCCATTAATTTACACTGAAGGAGGCTGATGAGATGTGCAACCCTCTTTGGTACAAGTAATGCTCTCAACTTGACATCTAGGACATGCTTACACAAAGAATCAATTGGTTTTTGTAGGAGGGTATGTATTGCTAAAGATAATCTCACTAGTGGTTCAGGTAAGGCCAACAATCTTACACCTGTATAAAAATTATCTGTTAAATAGTATTACAAGGTTAGTTTAATCTAAGGCAAATTAATTGAGATAATTTACCACAATACACAAGGCAATCTGCAGGACCCTTGACGGCTATGACACTTTTACTGCTTTTTACTTTTTTTTCATCGGGAAATGCGGTTAGAGGGATCCCAAGATTATCACCAAAAACGGTATTGAGCAAACTTCTAACTCTTCGTGGTGAAACTTCACAATTGTATTCTCTCCATTCAAGTCTAAAACCAAAATGATTTTGTAAGAAATAATTTTGATTCATATAATTTTTTTGTTTATAAGTCAGTCAGTAATAAAATAGACACCTTAATTTGTAATTAATTGGTCTGATATTTTATTTATTAAGTAAAAATGCTCATTGGGGAAATCTGATTCTAAATATTAAGTTCTGAATTATTAGAACAAAAAGAATAATAATAATTTTAGAAATAAAATAATTGACATTTCCTCACTTTGATTTAGGCTTTGAATCAGTGGAAACAAAGAATGTTGAGATAAAAGATTCAATATTTTGTCCTCTTTCTTTCCTCAGGGAAATAGGAACAGATTTTCTAAGGAGTCTACCCAGAGCATTCTCTTCCAATGTGAATTCCGGAGCCGATAAAAACCAATGAAGCAGATCAGAACCTCTCAAAGAAGGGTTTACTAATAATTTTTGGAGGTAGCTTTCATAAACCTAAAAAAATATATATGCATTTTTGCTAATTATGAAAATTAGCAATAATTTATATTAAACTAAAATATGCATACAAATGGCTCTGTTGGTGGACTAGGAGCTAATAAGCCACAAGGAGGTAGCTGACTTTCAGGAAAATCCCCATGAAATTCTGTTAATTTCGCTTCCAATGCATAAAAATCTGTTAATTTCCTTTCAACACACCATTCATGTCGGATGATCCCTAAAATTTTACAGAGTAATTAAAAAAATACCGTTTTATTATAACGATTTCTATAATAGAAATTTAAATTTTCATTTTACACACTGCTGTGGCTTAGAAAGTTTACTACACAAAAAGAAAGAGATACCTACAAAATCATTGAAAAAGAGCCAATACAGTTTCATTTTAATATCAATTAAAATCATAATATTTGTTCTTGCCACAAATTTGCAACTAAGCTAAAAATATATAATACACACTACATTATGGTTATGATGCCTCAAAACAGTCTGTCAAATAAGATCAGTACAGCTTCCTAACCATTTTCACTGGTAACACAATTACCTATATTTCAAGTTCTATAATTTTTCGTATAAAATGTACAGGAGAAGCCATTTTCAAAATAGAGTAATCCCTAAACATTCAAATTTGTGTCTGTAATGTGAGATATAGGCACATCAAGGAAAAGAAGTTTGCACCTGCAGTACTAGTAGAAATTATTTTTGAATATTGTAATATTGAAGAAAGAGAAATTAGTGGATCTAATTCAATAAAATTGATAAATTATTTTTTTTAACCAATACCCAACTTTCTTCCAAATTGGACAAGCTATTTCTGATATATAGAAATACCTAATAACATTTACACATTCTTGCATAGAATTCGATCAGGGACTATCTAGGCCCTAACTGGTACAATCTCAAAAATTTCATAAAAAATTAGATAAACTGTAGCAGGTGATGTGCCCATAAAATTGATTTAACAACAGACGACACTTAACCAAATTTGTTTCTTGATATCTGAAACGTAAAACACGAGTAGAAATTTTCAATTCTGAGGCCAACAATTTTTATATCTTCCTGCACGAATACAAAGCTTCCCTACCTTCGGTAGCGAGGAAGTAAGTAATAATAAAATGTACGAAGAAAGTCTAGTTGATTTAAGCCCATATAATGTTCAACCTAACCTTGCAAAGGGTCAATTCTCTGCACAACTAATAAGTAGAAGGGTATATGTTTAACTGCTGTGGCATCCATTTTATATCCAACATCTCGAACTCTCACACGCCAGGAACTTAAATCTCTTTCTTCTTCATCTTCCATCAATGTGAGGTCTTCCGCCTATGAAGTAAGCAAAAATAACATTACAATCATTAAACATAAAAATAAAAAAAATAAATTCTCACATTAATTCCTAGAAATTTATTTTAATAACTAGGAATGGGATAGGAAATCATACAAGCTGAGACTAACCATTGGATTACATATTTCAACCAATTTTTTTTTTGGTGATACTGCATTGAAAAACATTATGTTTATTCCAAAGGGCACTAGGAGCTGATAAAAAAAACAAATTTTATTTAATTGTGAATTAAATTTATGTTGTTTATTTTTGCCTGGATTTTTATGTTATTAGACACCAATTCATTGCGTTTTTTATGCTAAATAGGAAAAAAATATTGACTATGGTATTAAATGAGTTATGATGGACCATAAATTACAAAAACCAAAAGATACTTTCAGTAAAGTAGGCCAAGTACATTTTTGTTATGAAAAAGGAAATTAGATTTATTCTCACTGTACTTTAAAATTAAGATATGAATTTTAATAAAAATTAAAAAATTAAAATTTTAGTACTTGATTTTCTTGTTTTTTTTTTTCAGGATGTTAACTAAAGCATTCATAACTCCTAAGGATTTCCTTCAAATTCACTCTTAGATTGACCATTGCAAAGCTGAATTACTGCTCTTTTAACCCACATCAAAACCGTTTGAATTTCACTCCTTTTTAAACTATTAATAAAGAAAAACATTTTTATTTTATGTCTTAAGTTCTAATTTATTTATAAAGGTTTGTACCTTGAGTGGCTTCAAGAACCTTAAATTTCTAAAAAAAATTGTGTGGATCAGTAGAGTGGTTCTGAAATTTTCTATAAAAATCCGTATTTTAAGAGTATTAAAGGATACTAAAAAAGGAATTTAATTTGCTATTTCAAAACACAAATTTACATGCCCTTCTTGTGCAACGTGCAACGTGCAACGTAGACTGACTCACCTCCACCTCATAACAAAAGATTCTATCCCCCGATGTCAAAAGTGTAACCAATCACTAACTGTAAAACATATTTTGGAAGAATGCCCTTTTTACACCGCAAGATTAAAAGATTTTGGAATACCCCAGAATATATCAGCATCCCTGGGAAATCAAGAAGAAATGGTTACCAAAGTCATCAAGTTTATGGATAGTGAAAGACTTAAAAAACACATTTGACAGGCTTTTATTTATTTATTTATTTTTATTATTTTTTTTTAAATTTATTTATTTAATTTTATTTATTTATTTATTTATTTATTTTATTGATTCTACTGCTATTTTTTAAAGTTTATTTTTTTATACATTTTCTATACATCTTATTACCTATAAATGTCTATTATTATCCTTATTTATTTATTTTATTCTATCAATCCATTTCTTTATTTATTTTATTTTATTTTATTTATTTATTTATTTTTTTATTTATTTTATTTTATTTTATTTTATTTTTTTGTATCAATCATCCAAATAGTATTAAATGATGTTATTTAGTTGATCGGGCGCTTATGACCTGGATGTTTTGCGCCTAGACATCGAAACAAACAAACAAACAACAACAACATGCCCTTCTTTGCTGGCAGCACCTTTTGGTTTTTGTAATTTATATATATATATATATATATATATATATATATAATATATATATATGTACATACACACACAGTTGACTTCGATAATTTGAAATCCAAGAAAAATTATTATAGAAAAAACAAGGGGCTACAAGAAAAATTTGAATTATCAAGTAGAAAATAAATTCAAATTATCAAGTTTTCATTATATTTTGAAAATTAGATGAATTTTATATATAAATAGCCTATTATAAAAATAATTACTGGGAAAATTTTGAATTAGAAGAAGAAGGGAACTGGTCTAGTTCGAATTATAAAACTTTCTCTCCCCCTCTTGTTACTAAAAGGATTTTGAGTTACTGAGCAATCTAAATACAGTATTTTTTCGATTTACTGAAGTTAACAGTTGAAGAGTTTGAATTGTCAAAAATTCGGATTATTGAGATTTGACTATATATATGCAAATAAATTTAAAAAAATCTGTATCTTGGAACAAAAAGGGCCGATGTCCAAAACTTTTGAAATTCCAGCTAACTGCATAATAAAATTTTATATAAAAAAAAATTGAGACTGTACAGTAGTTAAAAGAGCCATTGTCATTTATATTTAACAACTAACGTAACCCTAACGTAATGTTTTGGACATTGGCCCTTTTTATTTTAAGTCACAGATATATACATAATCACATTATAAAATTAAAGAATGACATTGCAAAAAGGGGGGAAGGAGGTGTGGATATGCTTTAACTTACATGAATCCTGCTGACTGTTTTTATTTTTCAAGTAAACAGGATTTGCGCAAATGTTAACTAAATCTCAAAGTATGATTTTATGAATTTAAAATAAATCTAAAGATAAGATCCATTTTATGTAATAAAAATTTGAAACAAGTTCTAATAATGAAATAAAATTAAAATTCTTACAAACTCAGTATCTCCTTCAAGCTGTAGAACATCAGTATCGAGTGCTGTTCCTTCTAATACTGTTTGTTGCTTTAATGCGCCTTTAATCTTATGCAGCCTATGGCTTAATCGAGAACCACCAGATCGCCTCTCCACACTAAAATAATAATTTTAAAAAAATTTCACAAATTTAAAATTATATAGTAATAACTGTTAATGTTACTTATTAAATAGTTAATAATTAAGTAAGACACTGTTATAAATACAAGATGAAATTTACCACCTTTAATAAATATAAACATAATCTATAAATAAAAAAAATCAAGAATTTACCTGTTTTTAGCAGGAGACCCAGGAGCTGAAGGGGAACTAAACAAATAGTAAAAAATATAGCATCAAAAAAAAAAAAAAAAGAAAAGAAAAGAAAAATAAACAAAAAAAAGAAAAGAAAAAAAAGGTGGACAAAAAGTAAGTACAGCATCCTAACCATGAATGAAGACACTAATAATTTATTAATTTTGATGAGTAAGTATGGACCAATATTACATAATTCAATGATTATTTATTTAGGGAATGGTAATACAAAACAAATAAGTTCTACAGTATTCACCACAGTCGAACTCCCATAAAATTATCTCATTTCAACTCCTTGTTAAGTGGTATGACATTAAGTGCCTTTCAGGAATTAATTTATTTTCTAACTTATAGGAATAAAATATAAATTTATAATAATAATAAAAGGCTTAGCGAACCCGAAAATTCGATGCCGACACCACCAATCGCTTATTACACACCTCCCTCCACCGTTCGCCGTCCAAACCTAGTCCCTTCAGATCGGCTTTAATGCAATCTTCCCACCTTTGCTTCGGTCTACCCCTCGGACGTTTACCATTCGGTACAGCAAATATCAACCTTTTAGTAATTCTCTCGTTACTAAGCCCAATAATTTTACAAGCCCATTTGATACGTCGGGATGAAATCACCTCAACTATATTACTCGGATATAGTTTACGCAATTCGGCGTTGTGTAACCGTCTGAATTCTCTGGTTAATTCATCCTTGTTCGGTCCAAATATTCTGTGCAATACTTTATTTTCAAAAACTTTAAGTCGCTACTCATCCCTTAATGTAAGCGGCCACGTTTCACAACCATAAAGAACTGTAGGTAAGACAATGGTTTTATAGATTCTAATTTTTAAGTTCCAGGACAAGAGGCGCGAGCTAAGTAGTTTTGTCACAGAAAAATAACAAGCATTTCCCGCATTCAGCCTAACCTTAATCTCTTCTTCAATTTCTTTTTTTCTAGTTATCGTAAACCCTAGATACCTAAACTTCTCTATCTGTTCAAACACATTACCATCTATATCGATATCACCATTTTTGCAGCTAACCATATATTTCGTCTTTTCGTGTTTATTTCGAGCCCTAGTTCTTTACTGGCATTCATAAACGTTGTTGTATTTAGTTTTATAGTTTCCACGTCTTCGCTTAACAGTACCAGATCATCCGCATAACCCAGCACGGGTGTTGTCCCACCCAGATCCAACACTTTCTCGGTACGCATTACCTCCCTAATAGCATGTTCTAATGCCAAATGGAACAGGACAGGCGAAAGGGAACCCTTCTGTTTCAAAGACGAACGAACCTCAAACTTTTCGGACAGATTATTACCGATTCTAACTTTATTGAGTGTTTCCATCAAGCACATCCTGACTAGATTTACCAGTTTTTTGGGAACCCCCTGCTCGATTAGAATATTATACAGTTTCTGGCGGTCAATAGCCTTTTTGAAATCGATATACAGCTGGTGAACTTAAAGGAATAAAGAAGAAAAAAATGTAGGTAATATAACCAGATTACATCTAGTCATGTTATATTAATTGGATCCTGAAAAATTAATGATTCATAAGATACAATCCAGTTATAAAGTAAAACAAATTTAAGTCTAGAATATGGAGACCAAAATCAAGGATTATCCAATAAAGAAATCATAATTGGTAATTGGTTGACTGTCGTGGATAATGAAGAGAAGAATAGTTGGGGTGTTCAGTCAAAAAGGAAGGCAAAAATAAATGATAATATTTATTTTTTACATATGCCGACGTTTGGACCTGAAGTTCAGGCTTTCATCAGGCCTAAGAAAATAACCAGATAACAAGGTATGAGAAACATAAATAATGATGGTAAAAAAGATAATAATAAGCCCTGATGAAGGCCTGAACTTCAGGTCGAAACGTCGGCATATGTAAAAAATAAATATTATCATTTATTTTTGCTTTCCTTTTTAACTGAACACCCCAACTATTCTTCTCTTCAATAAAGAAATCTCTCACTAATCATAGAAATAGATATTAAGATAAGTAATTTATCTTATAGGGCCAAACAATAGATTCTTCATGAAATATTTTCAATTTTATATAAATGAAACAAACATGATGTAACACACAACTATACTAATGTGTGTAAAATGGGATAGCCGCTGAAGTACATATTTTCCATGTTTATTAATATTTTTATTTTAATCAATTTTTTTTTTACGGATGGCCATAGAGACCACGCGAATATCATGACATTTAGCTTCTTTCTTGTTTTTCCTTTCTTTCCACTTCTCTCTCATTATCTCCGAGTGCCGCCGCTTTCTCTCCTCCGTCCACGTGACTCCCTTTCTCGAACTTTTCTCTTTTTAGCAATTTTAATCAATTAATTTATATGTGATTGTTTTTAATTATTAATTATTACATTTTCAAGTACAAAACCCCTTGAAATGTTCTGAGGTGGGATATACCTGTCATAATTTAGTCGCTGAAACTTTTGTATTGAATATTTCCATCTGTAATTTTAATCAATATTTCTGGCTAACTAATTAGATACTGATTACAGTGTCCACAGCTCCACTTACTAGAATTGCACCTACAAGGATCATCTCCAATTCATTACAGAGCAGTAGTACTACACTTGTTCTAACATCATCCAAGAAAAATATTAACTGTGAGGATAAGCTGATGGTAAGCAGTGCCAAAAAAAAAAAAAAGAGATTTTATCGTGGGCCATGTTTGAATAAATCATTACATAATATGTGAGAATACAATGAACAATATTGCTGTTAGGTGACAAGTTTCTGAAAGTGCAAGAAAACTTAATCTAATGGTAACAGAAACATAATCCATTGCTGAGATCTCTCACTGCCTCTTGTTCTTTATTAACTATATTTAAAACTGGGTTAGGTCATAGGTGTTCTCTACGAAGACAATCTGATCAAACACATTCATCAGTGAATCCAACCATTATTTATAACAAAGAAATTTTTGTTTTCATATTATCTACATAAATGTTATCATGTTACCTCACTATGGAGGCATCAGCAAAATTTACCTCACATTTTAAGATACCTTTTTCTTTAAACATTATAATGAGTTATAATTAAAATGTTATCAAATATGATATGTTTTAGAACTATGATGAGAGCACAAATATAAACCTAAGAAGTGTTAATAAATAATAAAATATAAGAAAGTAATTTTTTGTAGTTGAAAAAAATTAAATAACTTCAAGTAATTAGCACATATACACAAAAAAGATTAAACACATTTTAGTAAGTGGTACAGACCCATTTTTAGCAAATTATTAACATACGGCTGAAACTTTGTATACAGCTTCATCACATTGTAACCTACAAATATTTTATTTATGAAAATTCTAGGAATTGGAACATTTCAATCTGGAGGTCGGCAAACTTTGTTTATTTAATTAGGGACTAAAAACTGGTAAACACCCATTTGCTTTCCACTTGAATCGTAAGATAACTTCCACACAAAGTTGGGAAAAAAGGTGGCCTTCAAAAATATTGAGCTGTTTGATGTTACCTACTACTCTAAATTGTCAAAATAACGAGGTTATATAGGCCAAACAGCCCAATATTTTTGTAGGTAATCTTTTTTATCGATTTTGTGATCAAATTATCTTATGAACCAAGTGGAAAGCAAATGGATATTTATGAGTTTTTAGTACCCAATTAAATAGATAAAGTTTGCCAACCTCCAGATTGAAAACACTCCAATTCTGAGAATTTTTATAAAATAAAATATTTGTAGGTTACGATGAGATGAAGCTACTTACGAAGTTTCAGCTGGATGTTAATAATTTGCTAAAAATGGGTCGGTACCACAGACTATTTATTCTAATACATTCACATAACTTAAATTATATAAGTAAAATTTATGCAAATCAGAGAATAACCTCAGCAATATCTATATTTATAAAAATATTATATTAATATTTCATAATAGTATATTATATTAATATTCATAATAATTTCATGATATAAACATGGATATTGTAAATTTGATTAATAAAGAATATAAATAGGTTAATTAAAAATTTGATTGCAAAAATTTTATTACAAGTAAGGAAGTTATATTTAGTTCTTTAATTTTAAGAAGAATATTACTGATTTACCGAAATATCAACTGTTTTAGTTTAATTTGTAACAATCATTGTTTTTTTTTTTTAAGCAGAACAACTTAAAAATTTGTTAGATATTAGTATCTAGAAATTATAACAAAACCTTAATTTTGAAGCATAAGCCAATTCATATCTAGGATTAATGGTTAATAATTTGGCGAATAATGCCAAACTCTAAGTTCTGTTGTAAGCATCAAAGAACAACTAGGGAATGATTAATAATATTTTTCTGTAATCTTTGAACATTTTCTAGAAGCCAAGTGTTCAAAATGAAAAAAGTTAGCAATTTGATCGAAACATCTCCTAGAAATTGATATACCTTCGGATTCCAGGTTTTAAAAGAATTGAAACTAAAAGCCTTGTTCAATGGAAGAATTATATGAAAACCAGATTATATCAATTCATATTTTATAACTTAACACAAACAAATTGAAATTTCATGCAAACAAGATACATTATCAAAGGAAAAATAATTTTGTGTAAATTAAAAACTATTTTCATATGAACTGTAAATAGACCAACTTTCAAATTACTTAAATGTAATTTGTAAAAAATGATTTTGGGAAAGAGACTATTATAAGTATTTATAGAAAAAGGCCTTTTTCAGTCTCGATAAATAATTACTTTATTTCAAATTTATCCAAATTTTTGCCTCTTCAGGCATCCTCAGGGATAATCTGATTTTACTTGTAATTTAAATTTTCATCTGAAAAAAACATATACAAAAATCTTTCAGAGGGTTTACTATTAGACATTAGCCCATTTATAAAACCACAATAACCTTAAAAAATGTTCGAAAAATGTATATTTCAAAATATAAAAAATTTAAATGTAATTTTTAAAAAATAGCTAAAATGCCAAGACGATTTAATAAATCAATTATCAAAGTGTAAATGTTATACATAATACGATACAAAATATTTAAAAAATAAGTCAAGAAAGAAATTTGTGTTAAAAATTAAATGGAACTCTTGCATACCAACAAATTATGAGTTTTTGGAATACAAACCTTGATCCAGAAACATTGAAACTACAAGGTGTTCTTGGACCGCAAAGCCATGTATAGAACTGGAAAATTACATTATATTTTACAAATGATAAGGCAAGAATATTGAAAAGAAAAACAGAGAAATAATTTTTGTATTATTCTTTCAATATAATTAATGATAGTTATTATTATTGCCCATCTAATTAATTGCAGAGAAGTCTAGCATGTTCAACTTAACACAATGTTTCTTAATTAATAAAATTTAATTTGCATAAGGTATAATGATTTGAAAAACTAGCATTGGTTTGAGCTGATGATAATCAAAATGTTGAACATGATAAAACTTTATCAATGAAAAATGTGGGTTTAAGAATAAATGCAACCAAATACCTCATCACTAGTGTGAAAAAGAGGGCAGTAATTATTATCCAAAAGGCTGTAAGCATGTTCATAAGCTTGAAACAATGGTCTAGAAGTCCTCAATTTTGTAACATCTTTTGAAAGAACTGAAAATCCAAAACTACATTCACAATATGAAGTAGCACAGGTAATCATAAAATTAACTTGATCCAAAGAAAACAAAAACATATACATTAAGCCAAATGAACAATGCTTTCATCTATCCTTTTTATTTCATATATTGAAATGAACAAAATAAAGTATAATATCACGAATGATAGTACTCCTGAAGTTATCTCCCTAAATATTAGATCTGTATCTAGGAATAAAAAACACATTAAATGTCTGAAAATTTAGGTGAATTACATTTCAAAAGTGAGGGTAGAGTATCCATCAATTGTCAAAAGAGTCAATATCATTCAACTATCAGCTAATACCAGCGACTAACAGGTACCAATGAATAAGAAGAGGAAATTGGGTCATTTTAACAATTTTCACATTACACTAATTTTTTTCATGCAGTTCATTCAAACTTTAATGATCTGGATAATATTTTACTTCAGTGTTAGCCATTAAGTAATTGAAACTGAACCAATGGGTATTTCCTTCATAAACTATTTTGGTTTTATATATTATATTAGTTATTAGTAAAATAAATACACTGCTTCCTAAGATTGGTCTTTAGTACCTCAAAGCAGAAATGTGTATCAACTTTATGGCAAGTTAAAATAGCTTTCCTCCTACTTTTGTTCACAATGTTTTCTCAGATCCTTTTTATACTAAACTATCAACGCACAACACTTTTCTACATCTACAGTCTCCTACAATTCAAATCCTTGGTTCAATCTCAGAAAACAAGATCTTGTGGTTCTGATCTCTATACTCCTCCCCAAAGAACTAAGCCTTTGAACATTTCATTCATGTCCCATACACTGCCTTCCGAAATTCCCTACCTTCTAATATCCATCCTCCTCCTTAACTTTCTTTATTCAAATCCCAACTTTTCTTTTACCTTCTCACATACCCAAAAGACGCTCACATATCTTGAAATCTTAATTTAAAATTAGAATTCAATAATATTTTTGATATTTTAATTTGGGATAAATTTAAGTTTTTTTTTCTTTTATATTTTTTTTTTCAAGACAATTATTTGTATTCTCGAGAAAAGAGACCTCAAAAAAGTCAGTTGACTATTATTGGAATGTATATGAGAAACCACCAGTGTTTCCTATAAAATGAAGATCACAAGTAAATATTTTGAAAATTAATTTAAAATATTTAAGTAGCTCCTAAGTTTATAGATATGATAAACGATCCCAATTGACATAAACAATACTGAAGATACTTCAGAGGAAGAAATTAAAAATTTGTCGTTAAAGTTCTGTCATGCTATTTCAATGAAGATAAAATCTGTCTTATTTTAAAGACCATTTGATATTAGACTGATGTAACTAGTGTAATCAAAATTGTTAAGAGTCGTCTTTGAGAAAATTGTAAAAATGTGTAAATTCATTGATATAATGTGACACTTCCGATTACCCGATTTCAGTGAAAAATTGATGTAACATCCCAGACACAACCTACTTTAAATAAGCAATTTCAATAACATACAACATTTAGTTTTTGAGCTACGCTATTCACACAAAAAAAATTTTGAGAAACTTTTTTGGATCCCAGGAACTTCAAAAAGTGTATTTCCATTGAAAATTTTTGTGATCACAAAGATAAGTGAAAATAAAAATAATATATATTTACTGTGTCAAAAAGATCTGAATAATACATGCTATTCGACCAACGACTTTGTATAAGTGAACTATTAGAACTGACCTAACACCAGGATCTCTCATTCTTATTACTCTAACTTAATCCTCTCTCACAATCGCAGTATACTAAGTTAGTCATATATTATGTATGTAAATATAAACTTTTAAAAGGCTATAAAACTATGTATTAAAACTTCAAAAATAATAAAAATGTCATAATGGTTGTATTATATCATTATAATTAATTAAATACCATTATAGTTAATTAAGTATCATCATGACCAATTAATTAATTAAATATCATTATAATTAAATGCATTGATATATTAAATATAGATAAACAAAATTAAAATAGAACATTACACAATTCAAAATAAATAATTATATAAGTCTTACGCTTTCTCATTTGAGAGACCAGGTCAGAACTAAAACCAATGGAATCCGGGGAATGAGGAGAAAAATATACTGAAAACAGATCCCAAGCATCACGATGTAAAGAATCAAGCTGTTCACTTGATAATTCAGGTGTCAACATTCGTTTATTGAACTCTTCTACAAAAACAATAAAAAAGTACAATAAAATTAAATAAATAAGTTTAATAGGGTGTACCATTAAAAAAAAAAAAAACAATAGCAAATTTATCAAAAACCACATAAAATTGAGAAAAAAAAATCTTTTTACTTTGTTTAAAATATTAATAATTAAGAAGGTTAAAAGATAAAACAATCAGAAAACTGATATATATATATATATATATATATATATAATTATAACATAACATAATCATTTAATGGTTCATGTCCTATGTTTCTTGTGAACAGTTGTTTCTGTAAATGATTGAACTATTTTTGATTAAACCTCCAGATGACCAGTAATTGCATTAGTAAAGAAAGAAAATTTCCAAGAAAAAAATTTTCAGATATGGAAAAGGCAGTCAAAGTAAAATTTACTGTCAAATCATAACTAAAATAAATTATCATTGAAATTAACAGATAATTTAGAAAGTAAATAAGTAACAAGGAGTATTTTATTTTAAAATATATTTAACTGAAATCAGTTCCGTTTTCTGAAGAATAGTGCAAATTATTATTTATATTTCATAGAGCTTCTGTTATTATAGAGCAATGGGCACCGATAATATTCCTAGTGAATTAATTAACGCATGCGCAGGCAGGGGAAGATGGGATTTATAAAATACAATTGTTGGTTTAAAAGATCTGGGAAAATGAGCAATTGTCTGAAGAATGGAGTTTATTCCTATTCTGATTCACATATTCGGTTATCAGGTTGCCAGGCAACATGAAGTGTAGTGCATGCACGTTAGCACGCTCAGCCATTCTGCCCTTCTCTCCTTTCTTCTGATCTAACTATTTCTTTGATTCTAGAAGTAGATTTTTGGAAATCAATGGGGCTCATCCCAGATTTAAGTAATAATATTCGGACGTTGAAGAATTCTACTGATAATGGAAATTGCCATGTTGCAAGTGCATTGACATCAGAGTAGTTGCTTACAGCATCCGGAAGAGAGAAGCTTAAAGAATTTCTCCATAAATGTTTCTATGGCCGAAGATTGATGTGTCAAGAAATAAAATAGATACAGACGATCATCTGCCAATTTTCTTGACAGTGATGTGCACTTTTTTTTACAGAATTCCCATCACTCATTCGTTTATTGTTCATTGTTGTGGATTTTTGAAATTGACAACTCAAATTATGGGATAAGAATTTACACAATAATTAATTAATATTATTATTTATCGGTTAAAGAATACTTATAGAGACATAACAATTTAGATCAAGCAATGGCTCAGAAGCTGGAATTGAGGGATAACTATTGTCTATATTACAAATATCATCCTGAGCCAATCATCTCCAATCTTAATGTTAAACTATTCGGGGATCAACCTATACTTATGAATTATACTGTCCCCCACAATAGGCCTGACATTTTAATAATCGATAAATAAAATAAAATAACATCTATTACAGAAATTGGAGTTCCTTCAGATGATAATCTGCACAAGTTAGTGGTGGAAAAAAAATAAAGAATTGGCGGAAGAATTAAAAAAACTGTATGATTTAAAGAAAAGCTGGATTCTACCGTTGGTAATTTCATTGAATGGATTAATATCAGAATAATCTCAATCTTCTTTGCGCGAGCTGGACTTGTTGTTCATGACAAAGGAAAAAATGCAAATGGCAGTATTGTTGGGAATGACAAGTATTGTTTGGAAATTTACAATATAAAATAATCTTCAAAATATATTAATGTAATATTTGGTTGACGAAATTTGGTCCCCAACTATTACAAACAAGTATGTAATGTGTGAAACAAATAAATAATAATAAAATGAACCGAAAGAAGATATGAAGTTACGAGGTCAGAGATAGCAAACTAGCCTGGGATAGTTTCTGAATCGCACATGCTTTGTAATTACCATTGGAAGAAATTTTCAATGCATTTTCTGTCAGTAACAGTTACTTAAAAGTAAATCCGATGCTGAGGGCCCATTTTATACCAATCTTATTTTATGGAGATATTTCATGAACATGTTCAATATATATTAATTATAAAGTGCATATATTAAGTAATACTCACCAACATCAAGACAAAACTGTAAAATATGAACAGCATTTTGCTCTTTTAAAAATTGCATAAAAGCATAAAGTAATGATTGGTCCTTTAAAATTGTACACATATCAGGATGTAGGGCCTGTGAAGTATGGATGAGTTATTATTAATAATTATTCAAATATACATCAACAAAATATGGTCATAAATACATACGAGTGAATTAGTTTCCAGAAGAGACTGTTTTTTGACAAATGATTCAAGGAAAGGAACCTTCTTAAGAGTAACGTGAGGATACTGAGCAAGCTGTTTATCACTAAGAATATAAAGGAGAAGATGGTTTAGAACAGAAACATCTGATACACTACTTATTGGCAGAAGAAGCCATCCACTGAGTATTTCAACGATAAGAGTAGAGAACAAACTGCAAAATAAAACATGACTGTAATATTCATCAAAACACTAATTTCATTTATAATCAGGAGGCTAAAAATATTACAATTTAACATACTTGCATTTTAAATTTCTTTCTTCAATCAGATAAGGAAGTAAATATTTAACTCTAAGACGAATGTAGTCTAATTCTGCCTTTCTATTATATAGAGCAGGATGAAAATCAGGTCTTACTTTTGATTGAAATCCCATCTCTATATGATTAATAACAGCAGGTAATAATTTAGTGGTTAACAGTTCTGTTAAATCAATCTAAAAAGCAAGAATAACAATGAAGATCATACTAAATTTAAACACAAGTTAAGTAAAACAACATAATATATGAATTAAAAAAATAATTATGAATATGGATAAGAAACTTCAATATAAACGTAAAAATATATCACTATCACTTTGGTTGGCAGACGTGCCAAGATCAATCTTTTCATGGAATATGGAATAAAACTAGCATATGGATACGAGCGATCTCCAAACCATCCAATTAATAAATAACTGACATCCCAAACACATAGGTTACGCGAATATCAAAATAACCTTACTCTATGTTTTCGTCCAATGAAAATCCAATGAAAGTCCAATGACATAGTTGTCAACCTGACGAGAAAGTGGTAGAGGACTTATCCAATGAAAAACTATATAATCTGACCACAAAATTGCCTTATTGCAAAATTTCAAAACATGTTGCACCTTCATTACTAAATTATAATCTTAAAGTTAATGTAAATTTTGAAATACCTGTAATAATCTTGACAGTACAACACTAGCTGCATATCTTATATTTTCTCTAATTTCTGTTTGAAAGGCTACATCAGAAGACAAATTTTGGTACCAACTCTCCACATATGTTTCAATAGTTTTCTCTAAAAGCTAAATCATACTATTAGTGTTATTATTAAAAGACCAAAAAATGATGCATGGCAAACTTAGGGTAACTACCTTTTCCAAAGCCTCATCTATTTCTATTGGTACCAAGAGCCCCACCCATGGTTTCTGTTTGTGTACGACTTTGTCCCTTGAACAGTTAGCATCCCCACAAACATTACAACTTTTCTGCACAGAAATTGCTTCTTTGGCATTTGATTTAAAAGACACAACAGCACTTACAAAGTGAATGATTTTATGAATTTCAAAATCACACCTGTTAACAACAAAACTCTTACTATATATGAAATTTAAATTATACAGAAGAAAATTGAAATTAAGCTAAATTACCTTAAAAAAGAGTAAAATACAAATATTCCTCCACAATAAGCTAAAGAAACAGATATACCACTCACAAGCCTGAAAGAGATTTTATAGATAAATAAAATATAAAACACAAATAAATTGAACCAACCATCAATATATTTACCCAAAAAATATTGTAGTTAAGAGAATAATAAAAAATAAAGCAAAGCTCAATGCCTGTAAAAATTTATCATAAAGGAAAATCTGCCATAATCTGTTTACATCATTTCGGTCCATTCCTCAGTATAAAGATTTTAAACAATATAAATGCTACGCAACTTTATGAAACAAAAACTTCTTAAATAAAAATAAAACATAATTGCTGAACATTTTCTTCTGTTTTCATAACACAGTTTAACCTTCTGACTGCTACCCTGGAATATTTACATAATAAATGATTATCAGGTGCTGCGATTTTGACAAGTTAAAAACAGTCTCCAAGGCCATAGAGAATATTTTTCTAAAAGAGGTTTTTTTATTTTTTTTAAATCAGGTTTTATTTTAAATAGAAAAAAAATATAAAAACATGGTAAATTAAATATAAATTTAAGGAGAATTAAGACGATTTAGTTAAAGTTATTTTACTTAGTTTCTTAACTTAAGAATTCACTGATGCATTTACAATTAATAAATTGAAGGGCCAAAGTTATAATTTTAAGAGAACGATGTTATAACATTTTTCCAAAAAATTTTGAGCCATTTTTAGATCATTTTTTAAATAAACAATATGATTCATTAGAAAATTGAAGAGTAATAAAAAATGGCTGTTCATTGCAGAAGTCAGTCATAACAATAAAATGTTTGCCCCGTTGTTTGTTGGAGAGTTTAAATCCTTGTATACTCTAACTATGACAGAAAAGGCAGGCTATTTATCTATTCTTGCCTGAATGAGGAGGTCGAGATATATTACCTGGGTTCGCGACCAAATAAGTTTCAACTAACGTAAGGGTAATATCCCGATTTCGTTTTGTGACGAGAATCCATTATTTATATCCACTGATCTCTTATGGTGGAGGGGCAGGGCGAATATGGCCAAACATTGGGCAAAACATTATCAATCGATGAATTGTTTCCTAGTTCGCCTAAGCCAACAAAGACATCCGGAGAGCCTAGTGGTGAAATAAAAGAGAGGAAAGAAGACCCTTCCTCAGATGTTAACGACAAAGTATGCCTAATCTGTTGGCTGTTTCAAGAATAATAGAGGTCTCAGAACCCATATAGCTAAGAAGCATCCCAGGGAGCCAAATGACGCTAGAATCAGTGGCTTAATCAATAATAACGAAAGGGGAAAACTGGAGAGGATGAGGAAGAGGGAGTAAAAAAAGAAATAACCAAATGGTCGTGGACATGGACATCCGGAGAGCCTAGTGGTGAAATAAAAGACAGGAAAAAAGACCCTTCCTCAGACGTAAAGGTAGGTACGTAAATGTAAAGGTACGTAAAAATGTAAAGGTAGGTAAAATGTAAAGGCAAGTAAAGGTAAAGGTAGGTAAAATGTTTACATTTTATGCATTTTACCTACCTTTACATTTTACCTACCTTTACATTTTTACCTACCTTTACATTTATGTACCTACCTTTACATTTATCCACCTTTACACACACGAAGTGGCTAGTAAACGATCGAACCGAACGAACGAACCGAACGAACAAAGCGAACTGTTTCACACCGAAAGGGTGATCTGTTTTCTCAATTCATGGTCCAGAACCTTCATGATCAATCAATGATTCGTCGTACAATCGAATAAATAGTAATAGGTAGCCATGATGTATGCCGTTGGCATTTCCTTTCCTCTTGTAGACCGGCATTGTGCGCCCTTGAAGAGGAGCCTCAGGTACATAGGCCATCTTCAGCTTGATCCTGCAAGCTAGTCTTTTTGATGTGAGATATTTCAAAGAATTTAAACCAAAACTCCGTTTGGCCCCGGGGATGTGTCCAATGACGTGGATTTTATCGCTTTGTTTACCGCTTGGACATCGATGAATGTTAAATTTGACGTCGGTGCGTAATTTTCGTAATCCGCACGTTTTCAGAGCTTTTTTTCTCAAAGAGGCTTCTGAAATAATCTTCAATCTCGGCTACCTTGAGAGGGCATTGCTTAGGAGCATCGGCGTTCATAATGTTCAGCACCATTTCCTTCTTTCTATTATAATAATTATACTGGGCTACCTCATATTGATATTGCTCTTGCCGACGACTCGTCTGTCTTCCTATCTGTTGGCCCTTTATGAATTAGACACTTTTCCCGCACCTTTGCCATTCTTCTTAGCTTATAAAATTTAACGGCAGGGTGTTCTGGGTCAGGCAATTTTTCATTGATGGTTTTTAGATATTTTAGAAAATTGCCCACTGCTTCGTGGAATTCCACATTATCCCCATTATTTTGCCGACAAATTCCTGGAAGGTAGCCGACCATTTGGTTGTTTCTTTTTTTACTCCCTCTTCCTCATCCTCTCCAGTTTTCCCCTTTCGTTATTATTGATTAAGCCACTGATTCTAGCTTCATTTGGCTCCCTGGGATGCTTCTTAGCTATATGGGTTCTGAGTTCTCTATCATTCTTGAAACAGCCCACAGATGAGGCATACTTTGTCGTTAACGTCTGAGGAAGGGTCTTCTTTCCTCCCTTTTATTTCACCACTAGGCTCTCCGGATGTCTGTGTTGGCTTAGGCGAACTAGGAAACAATTCATCAATTGATAATGTTTTGCCCAATGTTTGGCCATCTTCGCCCTGCCCCTCCACCATAAGAGATCAGTGGATATAAATAATGGATTCCCGTCACAAAACGAAATCGGGATATTACCCTTACGTTAGTTGAAACTTATTTGGTCGCGGACCCAGGTAATATATCTCGACCTCCTCATTCAGGCAAGAATAGATTAATAGCCTGCCTTTTCTGTCATAGTTAGAGTATACAAGGACTTAAACTCTCCAACAACCAACGGGGCAAACATGTGAGGTTGTGAGGTGTTCAGTCAAACAAACAAAAAGAGTAAAAATGAATTATTTATATTTATTTTTGCCGACGTTTCGTACAAGTTTCAGGCGTTAATCAGGGCTGTTCTCACGAAAGATGCCGTAACATATTTAACATTTATTACGAAAGACGTATAACATTTAAAAGGTTTAATGAGCTATTATTGCTTTTAAAATCGTCTTCTCTTCAGGACACCCACAAGGCGCAATCTACATACATATTATAAAACATATAAAATAGATTTCCTAGAAGGGAACAAATTATAACTATTCCATTGTGGATGGTCATATTTCCAATAAATGTACGCTGATATTAGCTTTGAATTCGCTGCTTGCATTTATTTGTCTAAAGGAACAATCTGTTAAGTAGCCCGTGGTATGGAAAGCGGTAAAAGGCCGGAGGCAGCTGGGCGAGGCTATTATTTGGGAGGAAGGGAGGGGGGAGAGGGCGGTGGAGCTAATAGTTCTCAAAAGGGAACAGGTTATTGTTTCTCAGGAGCAATATCTCTTCTCCTCCTCAATACTCCTCAATTCTTCCCAGCATTCAGAAGAATAAGGGATTGCGCAGGGTATAGTCGCCTCTAAACCTGGGTTAGGGCGTATCCCTTCATCGCTTAATGTCCGTGAAATTGATTTTATTGAAAGCTTTAGAACGGATCCGTATGCAATTACTAAATAAATGACAAAAGGAAGAGATTATTTTTTGTTCCGTGTTTTGCTGTTGATGTTTTTCTCTCTTGGAGATACGCATTTGGGATTATTCCATACGATGTTCTTATATTGAAATTGTTTCTTTATTTTTACGCATTTCTTACTTGTTTCTCTAGAGCTACTTATACTAAATTAAAAAAAAAAAAAAATAGTAATCTATGTATTAGATTTTTTTTTTAAATAACTATTTACATTGCTTTTTTTTATCGCATATTTAACTATGAAAAACTATATTTTAATGTGAAATGGCATATGAAAGTGCCACGAATTACTAACACTACCAAATATAGAGTGTCTTGTTGGTCCGTGCGAATAATTCGCAACATATGCTGTTTAATGAAAAACACCAAAATAATACGCAAATAGTCCAAGGTTCCAAAACCTTATATAAAACCTCGGAATTACATTCAATCAATACGTAACTTAACATAATTAATATTTCCTGAAGTAACCGCCATCTTCATCTTTCTACCAACATTGATTACGGGTGCTTTTTGTACAGGGGTTTTTTCCCTAAACTTATTTATTGAAAAATAATACAATCTGTCTCTAGGACAGATATGAGACTAAAGAGGTCTTATTGATATCTTTTTATTCCAATCCTTAGTAAAAATAATCTATATTCTTGAACTACTTATCTATTCTACCTATTGAATACAAGATCCCAACTTATTCGATTTCGATTTGTATATCACTTCATATTACTGTTTCCTTTGAAAAATTATTTACCGTCCGTGCTAACCTCTTATGGAATTCCATTTCTAAAGGCCTCTTCCTAAATGCAATCAAAAACCATTGATCTACTTAACCATAAAACTATATTAGGCATGTAAAGAATACATGCTTATGCAAGTTTGCGCACACATGAATGTACTTATCATTAACATTTGTTTTGTTAAATTTATGTAATAATTTATTATTTGTCTTTTAGTTTATAATTTACTTATGTTCCTAATATGCAGCCAGACAAATGCTACTTGAATTGAGGCGTTGACAATGAAAGGGTAGTTACTGCCAAAATTCAAGTTTTACAAAGGACGCCAAAATCACTACCTTATCAATGCGAAATCCCCTTAAGTTAAAACCAGCGCTATCTTTGCCATCAAATCAAAACTTAACTAAGATCAACTGGCAGTTACATTCTCTTTTTAGTGTCACTGGCGACGGAACAGTTTCATTTTAACGAAAAAATGTTTTTTTTTCGCGTTTTCGGCACTTACTACATTTTCACTATCAACACCTCAATTATTTATCTCAGGGTCCCAAGTAAATGTTCCAGAATAACGATGAAATTTTCATTCATACCTTTTGTATTTTTTTTTTTTTTTACAAAATGACAAAGAATATATATATATGCGCATTTTTTTTTGTTATCCTCCCCTTTCCCACCTGTTTGGCTATACGGAGTTTTCCCGGATCAGGTGAGGGTGGGAGTTTAAAGCCTTCCTCCCATCCGACACCCCGGGACGCTAACTCGTGGTTGTTTTATCAAATTATCTTTGATTGGGTTGCCGGACAACGACGGTGCTGTGCACACACATTAGCCCGCTCGGTCACCTCGCTCTCAAAGACAAAAATATTGATTTACTATATCATTTAGGAGCACCACTAGAGCCATAATCTTCAGAGTCAATAATAAATCACCAACAGATTTTCTTACTGTTCCTGATTCGTTGGCAAAGGCTTCA